AATATAATATAAGATAATATAATATAATATAATATAATATAATATAATATAATATAATATAATATAATATAATATAATATAATATAATATAATATAATATAATATAATATAATATAATATAATATAATATAATATAATATAATATAATATAATATAATATAATATAATATAATATAATATAATATAATAATGTACACACATAGGAATATATATATATATATATATGTATGTATGTGTGTGTGTGTGTGTCTATATATATATATATATATATATATATATATAATTTTGTCGCCTAATCGTCGCCTAGGCGCTCGACTAGGCGTCTAGGCGTCATGGCGATACATTGGCGCCGTGCCTCGCCTTGGCGCCGTGATAACTATGAAGTGCACCAAACTTCAATTATGGTGCAACAAAACGCTCAGTATAAATAGGGGCCGGTTCCCGTGAGAATGCACCTTGTGGAGAGAAATGAGAATAAAATCTAGCCGTCGGATCTGATGCATCGTACGGCTCAGATTGCATCCTGCGCTCAGATTTTGAGATAGTGCATTTTCGAAGGTTTATGGTGCATTTCGACGTGATGCATTTTCGCACCATTTTGGTGCATCTAATTTTGATGAAATCTTGACCCTTAGATCTCACAATCTAAAGCACTAGATTCATTCTCATTTCTCCTAAGATTGCATTCTCACCAGAACCAAAATCTATATATATATATATATATATATATATATATATATATATATATATAGGGATGAGATCAGGTGAGAAAGGGTCCTAGTGAAAGAAATAAGAATGATGGAGAGGCGTTAGATGAAGTGGGATGGATGGCTGTGATTGAACCATTACTTTTTAGTAATTATTAAATTGCAAATGGTAAGTGTTAATTACCGTGCTTAAAAATAGGTAAGTATTAAATCAGGTCTCTAAATGTCGTCCATGGTTTTCCTTTAATTGAGATTTCCATCTCTACTCCTCGTTTGTCAGAAAAGAAATTTCTAAGGCTACCATGTATATTTTGGCATTTCACTGTCAAACGAAATGGATGGTTTACAAAGATGAGGAGTTTCAAGTTACATTTCCAAAAGACCCAGAAATGTTAAGGAAGAAAGCATGCTACTCCAGTGATGATTCATTTAACACTCTTGGTCCACTGAAGATGATTGAGGCACTAGAAGTAATGGATAGTTCAGAGACTACAGACATGTGCTTGGGTTGTGAGATCTTCATGGTACATTTATGTGAGGCTGTACGATTTAATTTCGTGAAGTGGACCGTTGGTGCCAACCCAAGTGCCTATCAGAGATGATAATGCTGAGTTACAGAAAGATATAGAAGGCACCGATAGTTCTAAAGATATCTTGCCTCATCTAACCCCTCTTAGGGTAGATCTACGTCGCTCAGTTCCCTGTCCAATCCAAGCCAGAAATTTAATCAAAAATTTATCAGTTGCTTGGTATACACACTCATTGTCGGGGCATACTGTTGTAGATCTGAAACCCGACATCGCTGATCGATGTGGGCTGACTACCATGGTGAGCCTGAAGTACTCCTTGGCAGTTCTCTCTAACTCTAATCTCAACAAGATTCTTGAGGAGTGGGAAATGAAGCATGAAAGGAATGAATGCCCCACTGCTTTCACATCCCTGAAGTTGGATGAGATGAGGGAGCGCGTTCGGAAACTTAGAGCTTCTAGGTGGTCTGACTTGGTTGAGCCGGTTCTTTAAGAAAGCGCTGGGGTTGGTGGGGGTGGGCGTGTCAGTGCTCCGAGGAAACGTGTTCGCATTTAAGGTAGGTTCACTAATTGCTTTATATGATTTTCCCATATAGCGCTTTTGTTATGTTTCTATGTTGTTTACTGCCTTGAGAAAATCTGCCAAGCTACCTTGAATATATTGCAACTAAAATCAACTGCTGGTGTTGTTGTTGTGTGATGCATTGGCAGCCTGTGGCAATGATATGTAATGGACAGGTGTTTCTGAACATGATATGTAATAATGACACAAGAATTAAGAGGAGAAGATGAATCAAAAAAAATTCCTAGTTATCTTCATCTTCTCCTCTTAATTCTTGTGTCATTATTACATATCATTTTCAGAAACACCCGTCCATTACATATCATTGCCACAGGCTGCCAATGCATCGCACAACAACAACACCAGCAAATGAATTTTTGTTGCAATATATTCAAAGCAGCTGGGCAGATTTTCTCAAGGCAGTAAACAGCACAGAAACATAACAAAAGCACTATATGGGAAAATCATGTAAAGCAATTAGTGAACCTACCTTAAATGCGACCACGTTTCCTCGCACCACTGACACGCCCACCCGCACCAACCCCAACGCGTTCTTCAAGAACCGGCTCAACCAAGTCAGATCACCTAGAAGCTCTGAGTTTCCGAACACGCTCCCTCATCTCATCCAACCTCAGGGATGTGAAAGCAGTGGGGCATTCATTCCTGCCATGCTTGTGTATACCAACCAACTAATAAATTTTTGAAATTTTTTATTAAATTTCTGGCTTGGATTGGACAGGAACTGAGCGACGGAGATCAACCCTAAGAGGGGCTAGCTGAGGCAAGATATCGTTAGAACTATCGGTGCCTTCTATATCTTTCTGTAACTCAGCGTTATCATCTTTGATAGGCACTTGGGTTGGCACCAACGTTGCACCAACGGTCCACTTCACGAAATCAAAGCGGACCGCCTCACATAAATGTACCATGAAGATCTCACAACCCAAGCAAATGTCTGTAGTCTGTGTAGAATCCATTAATTCTAGTGCCCCAATCATCTTCAATGGACCAAGAGTGTTAAATGAATCATCACTGGAGTAGCATGCTTTCTTCCCTAACATTACTGGGTCTTTTAGAAATGTAATTTGAAACTCCTCATCTTCGTAAACCATCCATTTCGTTTTATAGTGAAATGCCAAAATATACATGCTAGCCGCCTAGCCCTAGAAATTAGAAATTTCTTTTCTGACAAATCAGGAGTAGAGATGGAAACCTCAATTAAGGGAAAACCATGGACGACATTTAGAGAGGGCGCTTTATAAAAGTGCCCTAAAAAAAGGTTTCTCTTATAAAAATGTCCAAAAAAGGTTTGATATTATGAGACTACCCACTATCTACCCTCACTTAAAAGCATGAAAAATTACCATGTGAGATTCCCAAATTACCCCTATTCTTTGATCAACATTTTCATTCTTTGATTTGCACAATACCTGAACATTTGCTTGGACCGCCTCAGAAAATAGAGCGTAATGGACTGCAGCAAAACCATGCTCACCTTGCACAACTGAGCATAGCAGTTTGTCATTCCATGTTGGACTATTAATAAACAAGCTCCAGTGCAATTTTACACGACCCCTAATATGCAAGGGACTACTCAGATCTTTCAAGTCAAACTCCGTTTTCACTGTTCGGCAATCATCACGTACTCCTGGGCCATGTAGTACTGGAATAGTTTTACAACCTTCCCCTAATCCAAAGGCACCACTGGCTTCTTTGTTGAAAATGTAGTAGGAGCATGGAGGAGACAAAACTTTAATCGAGCCATATATTTGCAAAGCCTTCAGCTTTTCTCGGCCAATAAAGACAGAGAATATTTGCAATGCACTGGACGCTAATGGTATGTCCAGATGCGCACACTTCCTGAAAAGAAATATTTGGATACAAATTAAAAGCACACAAAACCACCAAACTTTACAAAGACTATCACCTAAGGATAAAGGACTTAAGCGGAAGAGGGGGGGGGGGCGAGGGAGACAGGGTCTGATTTATAGCTACTTTGGGGAAATCAGTTAGAAACACCGATGTTGTGTTCCCATTTGTTGTTCCGTAACTTTCCAGCAATAGCTATTTATAAGATTTAATGAATGGAACAAAAAGCACACAGAAAAAGAACACAATTATTGAAGGAACACAAAATGGCTCAACGAGATTCAATACATCAGCTTATTTGGGTACCACTTTTAATATTCCCCATAAGATCCCCAACTTCAATCCTCAAGATTCTATATTTATAGTGTTTCAATTTCCAGAATTTTCAGCAAAACAATCATATCAAAACTAGCAATCTCACTCTCCCAAGGGTGCAACTTGCCATGGGCTCAACTTAAAAGATTAGCAAAGCATCTGATAGCTACTCACTAGTACAAACAAGAGAGTTTAACATACCAACAACGGCTAATGTTTGATGGCCCTTCAGTATCACCAGACTGAGTATCATCAGACTGTGTAAATACAGAGGGAGAAATGGATATCAGACCTGAATAAAAAAGGAGAATTGAATAGTATATGACAATAGTTGTGCGTTGAGATAGAAGTTACCTCACTCATTTCGTCATCACCATCATCCTCTTCTTCGCTGGTTTCTTGTGAAGATAATTCATGTCTAGAGGACTTGAGAAAAAGAAGATAGAAATAAATGTCAGCCTCAAAGCGAAAAGAGAAAGAAGATAAGGGATCAAATGAAGAAATTCTAAGAATGAGATAGAAAGTACCACATTATCGAGCAACATTCCAGATTTTTCCTTGAAGCACCTTCCCTGTGTAGGCGAGTACCATAACACAGACACAGTTATACAAATGTCACCTATGATGAAGTCATCACCACACGGAACATCATTTCGGATTTGCACGTCTAAAGATTTTCTGAGAATTTTGTGCTCCGTTCTGTATTCTGATAAGTGAATGTCAATGATAAGGGACGTATTGGCCGACAAACCAACCCAACTTCTAGACATGTTCAACCTTCCCCGATTACTAGTTTCTACTTCTTCAAATTCATTAGGCTTCTTATCAAAATGCGCATAACCCTCAAAACTGTTGCAAGAACGAGCAACAACTTTTCCATTCACTTTAAGAAAATGATTATCAACATTTTGTGTGCAACCCTGCGTACGAAAGAAGCAGACCTCTACACGACCATAAATAGCAAATGGTATAACACTGTAGCACAATGCAAGGGAACCAAAACCACGATGGATCCGTTTCCATTTAAGATGCTCCTGGTCAGTCACATCATCAGCACAACCAAACTAAGCACATATGTTCTCATCCCCCACATAAACATCTACAACCAGCCTAGCATGCTCCATGTGTCCATTAAATGGCCAACGAGAACAATCTGGGGTAATCAGAGTTAAGAAGCCATCTTTTTCAAGGACTTGAGCATCACTACTCTTCCGATTGTAGAAATCTTGGACAATCCAATTTTCACTAGTGGTATCAGGGAATTCAGCATATATTTGACCATAAATGGTGAAAGATTGGTTTCGATCCAAATTATCTACTGCAGGTAGAAATTGTACTGAAATCAGTTGGACCAAGGGTCCTACTAGAAAAGCTTGCTTACCATGTTTCTTCTCTTCTTCTCTCACACGGTGAAGCTCAGCCACCCTATGCTCAAAGCGGAACTCACTAAAAGCTGGGTAATAAGCAATTGTTCGGAATTTGTCAATTTCTTCTCAAGAAACATTAGGATACTTTTGCATCAAAGTGTCCGCATCAATCACCATCCTTCAAACAAAATTATGAACAGAATATAAGTTTTATGTAAGCTTTATCTTTAAAATTTGGGTTGTTCACCCGTGCGATGCACGGAAAATCCTTTTATTTATTATTTGAGGTGACTATTAAAATAAATAATACACCCCATTGTAAATGTAAAAGTTATACAGCTTAAATAAAATTTTAAATGTGGCAATAAAAAATAACTAATAATAAACTTGTGCGTATGTTTATGTGTGTTACTCCCTCCGTCCTAAAATGTTTTTTCCAGTAACTTTTCATATGGTCAAATTTTAATCACTTTCTTTACCTATTTTCATTAGGTAATTGATAAAATAATATAGTCTTGACACTACTTGTTTTGTAGAACTTTTGATCTAGTTTTTAAATATATAAATTCTATTTTTTAATTTTACACCTACAATCAAATAAATTGAATTGAACATAAAGTCGGTCAAACCTCGTAAACACAAACGGGAAGAACATTATAGGACGGAGGGAGTATTTTTTTATGAAAGTCGGATATATTGCTGGATTGACCCGCCATGAAAATACTATATGGGTATACCTTGAAATGTGTTAATAGTATTTTCATTTGACCATTTATGTAACTATCCTTAGATTTAAATCATTACGATTCTTGGTAAGCATAGTTACACGCTTTGAGATATAATTAATGCCATTTGAAATATTAGTGGGTGTATGGTTATGTCTCGGCCATGTAGTAAGCAAGAATATGAATGATGTAGATAGAATTTATCTCTTCTTTTATGGAAGTATAATATCTATGAGCCCACTGATTAAGGTGACTTGGGAAGTGTATGGCCATACCCATATAAATTAGTATACATGATATTAATGTTATCCTGAATCCCACAAGCCAATCAAGATAATCAGTAAACCTTCGATTTAACTTTAACAAGGTGACACATCACATGCCTTGTGTTAAATCTAAATATTAGTGATAAAGGGATAAGAGTTATTAAATGAAATGTGTTGTTGAAGGAATTGTACAAAGAGCTTCATATATATAACTTGGGGGTGACAATGTGTTGCTAGATACCGCTTGTCACTTGTAGTATTTTAATACTATGACCAACGTTATGGGTAACCTTGAAAAGGGTCACACACATAGAACATTTGATGGTGTAGAATATTGTTATGGAGTAAAGTAAAATATTTGAACATATTGCGTATGGCACAATATTATAATATATATATATATATATGTATGTATGTATGTATGTATGTATATTAAAAACATGTTAGGATATTTAGTTTGTGTTAATTATTTAATAATTAAAGTTGGAAAAATAAATTGGAAGCTACCAATAGTTGTAGGGCCGAAAGTATGTATTAAAATAGAAATGCAATTTGATTTCTTTCCTAAACTTTAAAAGGCATATTCTCAATTGGATTAGGATTGAGATTGCACTCCTTATAAATAGGAGATCATTCTCCCCTGTTTAGGGTGTGAGTTTTCGGCCCTCCCTCTTCTAAAATTAAGAGATCAAATTCTAAAATTAAGAGATCAAATTGTTTTGTTCTTTTAATTCTTTACTCTAAGTATTTTATATTTTAAGAAATATTCTAGAGAAAATTACTATCATAATTTTTCTCTAGAATAACATCCAAAGTTCGTGTATACGACTAAAGGTCATATACTTTTGTGGCTAAAAGCTCTTAGACTAGTCCCTTTAGCCACATGTCGTTATTTGTTCGTCAAGAAAGGTATATCTCCAACAATAACTCATAGTTTTCGTAAGAGATCTTGGGTGGATCTACGCTTGGGCATCAAAATTTTTATATTTCTGCTCAACCATCCGAGTGTAGTTCCCAACAGTGGTATCGAAGCCTTCTTACGAAACTATAAGTTTTGTAGATTTAATTATTGTCAAAACACATAAAGTCGTCAAAATATGATTTTGGACTTTATGAAATTCAAAAATATAATTTTTGAATTAAAATTAGGTTTAAATTTTAATTTTCTTTTCAAATTAAAATCTCATTTAATTGTGAAAAATATATTAAAATTTTAAAAATTGGATTTTTTAATTCTGAGTACTTAAGATATGAATTTATGTGTTCTGGAAAATTAGAATTTATTTTCAAAAATTATTTACCTTTTTATTTGTATTAATGGTTTTTATAGTCAATTGGATCAACCACAAAATAAATACAAGATAAATAACAAAAAAAATGAATTTAAATATTTTGGGATGTTAAAATATGATTTTAAAGACTGGAAATTTAATAGCGGCCGAATGCTGGGTGTAAACACCCATGTTTACCGTCATACAACACACGACGTGTCAAAATCAATCCTTGACAAAAACACCAATTGACAGACCAGTATCACAGTATGGGGTACCGTCCTCACGGTACTTGGGTACCAATCCCACGGTACCGGGGTAGTGTCCGAACCAACTGGACTTAGTCGGCAGGCCTGTCACGGTAGCCACTACTGACCAGCAGTAGGGCCTATCGTCTGTTCGGTACCTAGGTACTGAACGATCACAACTACTGATAGAGTGGACATAAACAAACAGAGTGTGACGGTAGCACAGAACTTTCCCGGCAGTACCGCCTACCGTCTAGCGTATTAATTTTTCAGCTTCTTACCTGTTTTGTTTTCCAGCATCTAACCAACAGCAATCTCATAACAATAAACACCAATAAGTCCATATTAACATTATAAATATTATCAAACACCTTAATTCGTCAATCAACGCCTATGTCATGCATACTACCCTTTTCGATTCAACGACAATAATTCCCGAACCCAAAACCAACAATAACAGAGATAAATCACATAGATCAACCACGATAATAATTATAAACGGAATTTCAAACCTAGATGCATATTCTAGTGTTAGATGTCCATGTACTCACCTCGATTTATCAGATTCAATTCAAAAGAGAGACATCCAGATGCCATCACCGGAATCGCTCGTCAAAGTTGCAGACATGCCTAATCGCTACTCGAATTGACCGCTACTACCCGATTGACTTCAGAGCCTAGTTCCCGCTGCCTAGGTCCCGCCTGGTTATCCCTAAACAGCCAGGACATTGTTGGATTGGAGAGGAAGATTCACGCTAGAGGCAAAAGGGGGTCGCCGGACTAGAGTTGCTGTCTGCTTTGGCGTTGCTGAATCGCCGGATGATTACTTCGTTGCCGGTTGTCTGGAGTCAGATGAAGTCGCCGGAAAAGATAGAGGTCGCCGGAGTAAATGTCCAAGATATCGTCGCTGGTTCGCCGGAGCAAAGAACGGCCTTGCCAGTTCTGTTTCTGTTTCCAACCACGAGCTCACCGCAAACGATGGAGGTCTTCCCCTATTCTCGTCACGGCTGTCTTCGTTGCCGGTGGAGGAATAGAGTTCGCGTCTATGGAGTCCCCGCCTTGGATGGATTGGTGCAGAGTCATGGCCGTTGGTCCGCGTCGGCGTGCTTTCGTGTTGTTGTGACAGATTGACGAAGGAAGAGAGAGAGAGCGACGGCGACTCTTGGATAAGAGGAAGACAAGATGCGATGTTCGAATAAGACGACCGGTGAAATGAGGTTTTTTAATTTAAAATAACATGATTCCGTTCAATTTATTTTTGTAGTTCTAATTAGATATGATTGAATCTAATCTAATCTGATTTGATTAAATTTAATTGAATCAGATTTAACCTGATCTGATCGGATTTGATCTGATCTAATTGGATCTGATCTGATTGGATCTGATCTTGTCTGATCTGATTAATTATGATTTGATTTAAAATTCAAATCAATAATTTGATTTGACTTTATAATAAAATTTGAAAATTGTAATGATATTATAATGCAATAATATTTTTTACTTTACGATTATTTTTTGTGAAATTAGAATATTAATTTAATATTTTAATAATTACTTCATATATGAATTAGAATAAATATTTAATTTATATATACATTAAAAAATAATTAAATTTAGATAATCAATATATAGAAGAGATAGTATTTTTATTAAAATATTTCATCCTTATAAAAGATCAAAACTTTAGAAACTCAAATTACAAGTAGCAATAAAAATATATTTTAAAAATAGAATTAGATTGACATTGTCAATATATTTTAAAAATAATTTTTCCAACATCTAATAATAAAGGATTACTTTCGCAGTTTTCTATTAAACTTCTTTATAAAGTTTATTCTTTTTCATTTTTAAGAATAATAATAATAATAATAATAATAATAATAATAATAATAATAATAATAATAATTCTTGATAGGATCTGATCTAGTCTGATCTGATTGGATCTGATCTGATCTGATTAGATCTAATCTGATCTAATTGGATCTGACTTGATATGATCTTATTTTAATAAGAATAAGAAAAAAATAAGTTAAACGGAACAGGGCCTAAGTAAAACACATTTTTTGGGCCAATTTGCTCCGAATTGAGATCTGTTCGCACCATTGGATTCGATTCATCCATCCTTACCCAACGATATAACTTTTATAACCAATCAACCAGTATTTACGAATTCTACTTTGTGTGTTTTAAAAGTATAGATTGTCGTAAATAATTAATTCATATTTATTTAATTATCAATTAAATTCTGGGGCATTACAAACTTAGAGGCACATGGTTAGGTTTTTAAATAAAATCAAAATCATCTAACTTAGAGTTGTAAAATGTTACAATTGGAAATTAGACTACCTAAAATATTTTGATTATAGGGCATGATGCAAAGCACAACTATAACTGATTAAAATAAGGATCTAGGCCTAATACAAGATTTTGTTTCAAACAAACTAGCAAACCAAGTATTGTAATAAGATTACAATTCAAAATAAAGTTCATACCTAATTAGTTTAACTATAGGGCAAGATGTAAAGCACAAATATAATTAAATGTAATATGGACATTAGCCCACTAAAATATCTAATATCAAATCAATTGGTTGCGTACTTGAGGATCGTTGATTTGGTAAAATAATGGGAGAGTTTTTAGTTAAAGACCTAGCTAATTACTTAGATTCTTGATTATCACTATCTTGCAAATTATCTATAGATGACTAGGGACCACCTAGAGACAAAAGTCGTTCGCAAATTCCTTAAGAAGGCAAAATTGCATGGTGCTAATTTCCTTGTTTGGCGCACTGATTTGATCAACTCATAAAGAAGATTGGACTTCGTAGGTTAAAAGATGTAAATTAATTTGAGGTGGAGTATTATTTTATTTTGAGATAAAATATTTTACACGATGTACTCTTTTTCCCTTAACTATGATTTGTCCCATTGAATTTTTCTTAGTAAGGTTTTTAATGAGATGGTATAAGTGATCTTGTACTATCAGTTAATATAGATCCTGAAGAACCTAGCCAACAATATCTAGTAGTATAATCTTGATAGTGTATAATCAACAATGATATATCTGAGGGGAGTGTTAAATATGACAGATATATTACTCCTATTAATTAGAAGATCTTGTTTCCTTATTTACCTAGACTTTACCCCTTACATGTATGTATAAATATACCAATCTATGATGAATAAAGGATTCGGTTCACAACAATTATTACTTTTATTATTATTATTACTTTTATTATTATTATTAATATTATTATTATTATTATTACTGTTATTGTTATTACTATTATTATTATTATTACTGTTGCTATTATTATTAATATTTTGATTATTAGTATTATGATTACAATTATACTTATAATTATAATTACTATATTTACTACAATTACTATCATTATTCATAATATAAATATTTTTATTAATTATGATTACAATTATACTTATAATTATAAGTACTATATTTACTACAATTACTATCATTATTCATAATATAACTATTTTTATTAATAATATAACAATTATTATTATGATTATTATTATTACTATTATAAATATTTATATTATTATTTATTAAGTATATTACTATTATTATTATTACTACTATTATTATTATTTCTATTATTATTATCATATTTCAATCATTATTATTATTATAATTATTATTATAATAATTTTAATTTTAGTTTAAAAAAATCTATCTATCTATCTATCTCTCTATTTACAAGAGCAGCAGGAATATATTCCCGCTCAAATGTCTGGACGAACGGTTGCATCTTTTGGGTCGGGTCAAGTAAAATAGGCTTCAACAACTCCCCATTACTTCACTACCCACACACCACATCTGTCTAAAAAAATTACTTCGTTGAATCCCTAATGGACGACGGCAGATCCCTAGCGCTGGACGACGGTAGATCCCTTCGAACAAAAAATCGATCTGAGCCAACGGCAGATGATCCATAGCGCTAGACGACATCGGAGACGGACGAAGCACAAAGATGTCAGAAGCAAGTCCTGTGTCTCAATTTTTGTCTCCGGCGAACGGGAATGGGGCAGAATCTGATGGGGCGACTTCGACTCTGGACAGCTTCGTGTGACAAGGAAGTAGGGTCAGAGATTATGGTAGACATTTTATGAATTTGATTTGATGTTAAGGTGAGGAAGATAATCATGTAAATATACAATTACAATTGATGAAAGGCGAACATATGAAATAGTTTATGTCAAAAGTTCAAGAGTTGCATTGCAATATATTAGGGGTAAAGACTTGATAGTAATCAATCAATACTTTAGAGGTGGCATGTGAAATTTTTTTTCTTGGTTGTACAGAATTTGTTCTTCTAAAGACAGCCTAATTTCTGGCCATCGTGTTTATAATTTTTGTTCTAGACCGTTTTAAGGAATGCTCATTTCTAAATATTAGATGTACTACAAAAAAAGTACTTCGTATCATGTTTTGTGTTTCCCCTTTTCCTTTTCATGACATGAAACAAACATATTATATTCCATTGTATAATTAGTTCTTATTTTTGCAATATTAATAACTTTATCTTTATCGCACGTTTGTCTACTACTTAAAAAATTAGTCTTTAGTCACATTCAACTTTATGTTGTTAGATTTTATCTTGTGACAAAAAAAATAATGTTTTAGACTACACTTCAAATTTTGTACATGAAGAAGTCTTTATATGTAAAATTTATTTATGTGTAATGCACTTTTAAATGATCAAAAATTCTATAAAGTGTATTGTTATTCAAAATGGATAGTACTTGGATGTGATATGTATTAATTTTTTTATTATATTTACTCATTCTAATTTATTTATTGTTTACACAAAAAATTATTTATTATTGTATTATTCTGACCGTGCGATGCACGCGTAAAATCTAGTCTTTTTACAAAGCCAAAGGGAAAAGTTTCTGCCTAAGTATTTGGACGGTTGCCACACATCCATGTCAGTTTCAAAGATAATCTCCATATTTCCAAATTAAATCCACAAGTCCCCACTACACAAAAATCAAAGAAGGGTGAGCCGGAAAAAATCCTCTCACTGTTTACGTTCATCCTTCACGCTCTCTCTCAGTTGGCAGGAATCCATGGTTGGAGGGCTAAATTCAGAAAGAGACAATGGAACGCCGCACCCAATTGTGGTGTCTATCTACATCAGTTCTCTTCAAAATTGAACTCGATCGGTGCTTTCTTCCCTCTTCAAAATTGAAGCGCGTGCCATTCATCCGTGCTGGTCTTCTCTCCCACTGAAACCAACTTTTCTGAATCATCTGCATAATGAGGGAGAAGGTAGACTCTTATCCAGATGCAAATTTCAGAAATATATTTCTTCAATTTTCTGGCAATGCCTTAATTCATCTCTGAAGTCGTAATTAAGAGCGTAATCTGTAGATATCATGTCTTTGTACAGTCTTCGTTATCGTGGGTACAATCATTTTATGATGGAATTTTAAGATTTTATATGGTATTTGGGTCCCTAGATTTTAAAAACAAGATTTGTTGATGGTGGGCAGTGATCATGGTGATGATGATGGGGGCTTTGATGGGTATGGCTTCCATTAACGAAGACATAGGCCTTTAGCTGACTTCTTCTGAACAGTGCTCCCCTTTGATCAAATATGCATCTTTGTAAGTGATTCTTTTCCATACTTCGATTTTTTTTCTCAAAATCCAACTTGAGTTTTAACGTGCATTCAATCTTAGACATTCCTTCCTAAGTTTCATTAAAAGAATAAATAATACCTTTTATTCTACAATGTAGTTTTTCTTTTGCCTCATTATCATGTTCCTTCTTTTTGTGACTCGCCTCTTCTTTTTTGCTCTAAAATTCCACAAGAAGCATAACCTTTTCTTAAGTTTTCCCTTTGGAAAACTTAAGAAAAGATGTTTTCCCTTTGCCTCATTATATGCGGTCTAGAGAAGATGTTTTAGATGTTGCTCAATAACTTGAATGGTCTTTTTTGTTCTTTTAGAGAAAGTTGAAACCTTTTTTTGGTACGAAGAAGAAAAAAGGAGCCTCTAAGTTTTGTAAATACAGTCCATATAGGAGTTTTTCTATAGTTTATGTGAAGTAATTCATTTTGTGCTTATTATTTTAAACTGTTCTGGACACACAAATCTCTTCTTAAATGATGAGACATAATAATGTAGAGGATGACATGTATAGTGATTGATGAGTTACTGATTATTTTAGTTACACTATTTCAAGTATAAACGTATGATAAGTTTCTGTGTTCTTTTATTTAAACACAACGATGATTATTGTAGATTACTTTGTGGACAACTTTTGGGATAGTGGAAAGGATATTGAAATTGTTCTCCAACACTATTCTTGGAAAAGAAGTAGCTGATCCTACCAGTTGGAGGAGGTAGGTAGTAATTGTATCTAATCGTTATAGTTTGCATAATGTCTATAGTGCATTTAGTAGTTCTTGATGGAATTCTTTTCTAGGATATTGTTGAAATTTGATTTCTCTGTATTAAACTGGGGTAAGACTGCCTACATCTTGACTCCTAGACCTCAACGAAGCTTTGTCTTCAGGTCTTTTTGTTATCATATCCTGTTTAAGAGTTTTGTCTTCCTGTGCAACGTAATGAACCTGCATGGTTGCATCGTATAAATGATTGCCATTTTACATATATCATGTTTTCATATGGTTTAGTCCAGTTTGATGGACATTAGTTTTGTTTATTTTTATTCCATGGCATGTTTAGGAAATTGCAAAACTACAAGCAATTTCCCACTAGCACATCATTCTTTCACAAAATCAGAATGAAACAGTGAAGCCCCGCCAAGTGAATTCGATTTATCTTCATTGCTAGGAGTTCACTGGGATCCATGTGGGCTGCCTTCATGATCTCTCCAGAATCTATGGCGGGGTGCTAGGGTGTCGAACCCTAGCCCAACTGTCAAGGATCTCTCTTCTCTCAAACAGCATTAAGTCATTCATCATCTAATCTTATTCAGCGTATTATGAACATTTTTTACTTCTCTGCTTTCTTATTTTTCTAAATTTTTCATTCAATTTTGTTTTAATTGCACTAGGTTGTTTTTGTAGATGTTTTGTTTTTAATTTTGCAACTCTAGGAAAAATTATGAAAATTCATTCGCAGATGATGATACATGGATCAAATCCTGATGTTGACAAAAAAACTGTTTGCCCTCTAATTTATGACTGTGTTTAGAAGAGATATGCCCTTTTTAATCGATGATTGCAGAATATTAGGGATGAGATTAATGAAGCTATCCAACTCATTGTTTGAACTTCAATGGGAAAGTTTTGAGTTATCACTCAATTTTATAACCTTGCCCAATGTTTTACCAAAATCTAAAATCTCCTAAATTTTTTTGATTCCCCAGTAGCAGCATCCATGTTCATCAAGAGAAGAGTTCTTGGCTTCACACCAAAGGATCTCCTAAAAGGTATGAACTTTGAAGTCTATAGTCGAGTTTTGACGGCTGACTTCAAATGTTGGTATGATGGAGTGATTGATATATGATGATATCATTGTTATTAAGACACAAAGAATTTGCTTCTTGATTTTTAGATTTTCATCTTTCATTTGTCAAATTCAAAAGGTTCAATAGATCTTCAAAAGCACATGGCTTAAGGCTGGAAGAAAAGGAGCACCAGACTACCACTACGATACTACGAGGTGTGCGCCTCTATTGCTCTATTTAATCTTAATGTGTTATTATTGAGTTCTTGATAGGCAGAATTTATGCGATTGCATAAAAAAATTTATTCTAAAAAATAAGTCTTATTCCTTTCAGATTTAGGGTAAATTTTAGAGGTAATATTCATATTAAAGGGGGTGTATTCAATCCAGATTTTTAAAGATTCTGAGAGATTATTTTGAATCCATGGATTCTGTAAAGTCAATGGATTATTTAAAATCTATGCAGAGTTAGATAGATTTTAATGTATTTTGTTACCAAGATTTTGTAAGATTGTGATAGATTGTTTAGTATCAATGGATTATTTATAAATACATTTGAGTTATTTTAAAAATCTATACATTGTACTAACATTGATTATTAATTATGATATTGACCAAAAATTTTAAAAATAACATTATAAAATAAAAAGATCAAGAGACCATTATGAAACAGGATCTGGAAGCTCAAGAGACCATTAAAATCACAAAATCGAATGAAGACCTGTAGACCATTAACTCAAGGGTTTCGCACGCATCTTCAAAAATATAGAGCTAATTGAATGAAGATCTGTAGACCAGTGTCTCGTGTTCTTTAAATCTTGACCATATAAAGATTCATCAAAGGACAAGCATCAAACAACTGCGTTTCGTATCTAGTCAATTGAAACAATACATAACTGAAAAATCGAAGGCTTGAGATTGGAGGAGGAGGAGGAAGAAGAAGAAATACCTAAAAAGAGGGATGAATACTGAAAATCGAGTTTACCTTGATTTGAATAAATTATTGATAAGCAAAGAGAAAAACAAGTTAAACAATAGAGAGATGGAGTGAAGGATTGAGGGAGATGAAGTCAGAGAAGATGAAGCACACGAGTTCCTGTGCGGAAGAAGAGAAGAGAGAGTCTGCAAAATCTCAGGCTTTTCATTGGATTTAGAACTTTGGATTTGTATTTATACCCAAGGCATAAGAATCCATTAAAATCCACATTTTTAAAAATCTTTAAAAATCTATCAATTTTTGAATACCATCATATTTAGAAAGATTTTTTAAAGTTTGAATTGAATACACCCAGATTTAAAATGACTTTTTAAATTCTGAATTGAATACCTTTGGAATTTCAGAATCCAAAAAAATCCACCAGAATCCAGATTGAATACACCCCCCTAAGTTTAAGTATTGATTTTAATATTTAGGGCTAATGTTTAATTTATAAGTTGTGGAATGTGATTGTTGCAAAGTGTGTGCTTACTATCCTAAATATTGAAGAACTATAATATCAAATTCAACCATCCCAATGTTTAGAAGTTGATGTTAATTAAGAACTACATAAAAGAATTTGGAGGATAACTAATGGATTGCTACTGGGCCCTTTGGGCAGGTGCATCTCTATTTCAATATATAATCCTTGATCTTAATTTTCTATGGTGAAGTTTATTTTGGGATGGATGAAGTTTTATTTTCTGAAAAACTACAACCTTCTTAAGAAGTATTTTAAAGCTAAACTTATGTTTATTGTTCAAAGTAAAGGCAACACTAGGTTTTTAGGCATTACGTTTTTAGAGTGGAGTAAGCAGTTGTACAGTAAGTAACAAAGTATGTTACTCCATACTATTTTGAAAGTTTTCTACACTCATCAATTATGTTTGTGTGCACATGCGTGCTTCGTGAGAAAAATCAAGAAAGACTTACATTTTCCAATAGCAACTTCCCATGGTAAACAAAGGAATAGATTCTAGGAAGGGTAGTTTGGAAATCGATGTTATCATTGTATAACACAAATTGAAGTAAATTTTTGTAAGAACTGATGATATAGTGATGAACTTATTGAACTTTTTGCATAAAAGAAACACAACCAAAATCATTTACGTGTAATAATTATTAGTTTGAGGCACTATACGGAGTAATTCACATCAAAATGTTTCGTTAATGCAAACTACTTTAAGTTTTTGATATTCAATTTCTCCTTATCTCTTTCATTACTACTTTCCGTTTGAATCTAGAAATGGAAGATTGCGGCTTCAAAATAGGTTAAGGTCTATTGTGGCCGGCATCTCTACAAAAAAGAAGATCAACGTTTGCGACCTCAATGCAACATCAAAGCCACTCCTTCGATATTCAGGCAAGCAAAGCTTTTGTTGAGCATTATTAGTGCTACAAATTACCCTTTAAATTGTTAAATTTTGGCAGGTATAGGAATATACTATAAAAACACCATAAAACTATAGGCTAGGTTCTAGAGCCACTCAAAAAGAGTGGCTACGGAAGCCACTCACCTAATTGGGACACCTGCGGTGTTCCGTTCGCAAAATTGATAGTTCCTACCCCCTCTAACCCTCCCGGTAAACCCCCCCACCCGGTTCTGATCCCAACTCATCCTCTAACCACGTCAATTGTGGGGTGCAAGTTTAGTTGACTTTGGAGTCAAAATTTTTGACTTTAAAGTCGATTATGCTTATGGGGTGCAACTGACGTCGATGGGGGGATGATTTGGGGTCGGGACTTGGTGGGGGGTTTATCGGGGGGGGGNAAAATTATCAATTTTATGAACAAAGCTCCATAGGGGGGAGTGGCTTTCGTAGCCACTGAAACCCAGTGGCCACCGAACTGGGCCACTCAAGTGTCATGAATCATGAACTCAGCTTTGACGTATTACATTGAATTTAGCCAATTTGCAGTCATGGTCAACTTTACGTTGATATTTCATGTGTGATAAATTAACAAGGATTGAAGATCTTGATTTGCAATGACGAGAACAAATCTCCCAATCACACTTGGAATGTTGTATATGAATAAATTTTTTACATTTTATAGTTTTGATTTTATTTTACTAATATCATGCACTGTTGATAGGTGGGGTGTATTGTATGCATTACACCAACAATATACTACCTCCGTCCCGCTATGTTCGTCCAGTTTTGACTTTTGGAACTGTTCATCTAAGCACTTTGACTCATCAAATTCTCTCAATGTGTAAGCCTAAATCTTGTTTGATTTGTCTTAACATATAGATTATTAATATATAATTTCTATAATTTTTTAATATACAAATTACAAGATAAAATGGATTAAAGAAGTGTATTGGATGGTGTGCAAAAATGAAAGTGGACAAATATAGTGGGACGGAGGGAGTACATAAAATTGATGCTCATTGACTTATCATCTTATGTGTAATTATTTGTTATTTATATTTTCAATTATGTATATCGTCAAAAAATATTTTCGCTGTGCATCGCACGGGTTAGAATCTAGTTTATATCAAATCAGATCCAATCATATTAAATCAAATCAGATCCGTATCTTATTTTATTAAGATTGGATAAGATAAGAAATAATGAGATCAAACCAAATCCAATTAAATAAGTGTCTAACTTGAGGCAAACATCCTCATTTTTTATGTAGGAGCTAACCAGCGATGGGTTGTAACTCTGTGATCATGCTTACATCCTAGTGGTGCTCCATAGTTGAGAGTGGAGCTAACATGCTCACGCCATTTGGGTTTTCAGTTTTGAATCCGAATAAAGCATGTGCTTTTTTCAGCCCAAGGACAGCTCTCTTTAACTTGCTATGGAATTCTGAACGCCAGCATGAAGATCAAATTAAACCATGCTTCTATATGAGCCAACCCACGAGGGAATGCTGTACCCTACCCAGAATTGATCATACGCTTGATCCAAAAGTTGCGAGGTCAAATTCTATTATCACAAAGCTGTGCAAAGAAGGTCGTACTGCCAAAGCGCGAGTACTGTTCGACGAAATGCCTGAACTAGACGTGATTTCATGGACAGCTATGATTTCAGGGTACATAAGTTGTGGTTTGATTAGTGAAGCTAGGGAATTATTTGACCGAGCTGATGCTAAGAGAAATGTTGTCACCTGGACAGCTATGGTTGCTGGGTATATGAAGGCAAAACAAATTTTCCGGGCCGAGAGACTTTTCAAGGATATGCCGGAAAGGAATGTGGTGTCTTGGAATATTATGATTTACGGGTATGTGAAAGCTGGTAGAATTAATGAGGCGCTGGGGTTATTCCAGAAGATGGAAGAGAGGAATGTTGTTTCTTGGAATATGGTGATTGGAGGACTGACTCAATGCGGAAGGATGGATGAGGCATGGAGGATTTTTCACCAAATGCCAGCAAGAAACGTGGTTTCCTGGACATCCATGATTGTCGGCTTGTCAGGCAATGGGAGAGTAGAAGAGGCAAGGATGCTTTTTGAAGGGATGCCAGATCGGAATGTGGTTTCATGGAATGCAATGATTACTGGGTACATAAAGAATTTAATGTTTGATGAAGCATTTCAACTGTTTGAGAGGATGCCCGAAAAGAGTGTTTTCTCATGGAATACAATGGTCACTGGTTTTCTAGAGAATAAGGATCTGGAAAGTGCAAGAGTGTTATTCAATGAAATGCCAAGAAAAAATGTTGTTTCCTGGACAACGATGATTAACGGGCTTGTGCAGAGTGGCGAAAGTGAAAAAGCTATAGAAACATTAAGAGAAATGCAATGGGATAGCCACGTAAGACCAAATGAAGGCACCTTCATTTGTGTCTTGGGTGCTTGTAGCAACATAGCTGGTCTCAGTGAAGGGATGCAAATTCACCAAGTAGTTAGCAAGACCATCTATCAGGATAACCAACAAGTCGTTTCTGCACTTATTGAAATGTATTCAAAATGTGGAGAGCTGTTAACTGCCATAGAATTGTTTGACAGTGATGGATTTAGAAGCCAACAAGATGTTGTCTCTTGGAATGGAATGATTGCAGCATATGCTCACCATGGATGTGGTAAAGAGGCAATCTATCTGTTCAAAGAAATGCAAAAGATGGGGTTCAAACCCAACAGTGCAACTTATGTGGGGCTTCTTTCTGCTTGCAGCCATTCGGGGTTGGTCGAGGAAGGGTTGACTTACTTTAAAGAGCTTATGAGAGACGAGTCCATAGAGATGGGAGACCACCACTACTCATGCCTCATTGACCTCTGCAGCCGAGCAGGAAACCTCAAAGAGGCTTACAGACTCATGGAACAACTCCACACAAAGTTACCTGCAAAGATATGGACAGCTCTTCTTTCAGGATGTAGTGTTCATGGCGACGAAGAAACTGGGAAACTTGTAGGAGAAAAACTCCTAGGGATTGGCCAGGTTGCTTCCGAGAGTTGCAGCACTTATACATTGCTCTCTAACATATATGCTTCAAGTGGGGATTGGAAAGAGGCTGCAAAACTGCAGGGGAAAATGAAGGGTAAAGGGTGGAGAAAGCAGCCTGGTTGTAGTTGGATTGAAGTGGAAAATAGGGTCTTTATTTTTATGGCTGGTGATAGGTCTCATGATGAAACTGGGCTGATTTATTCTTTGCTAGATATTCTTCATATAAGAATGAAGAGGGATGATTTCTTTCCTACAGGCAATTTCATCATGGAAGAGGATTGATTCTGCATTCAATTGACCCTTTTCCTCAAGCTCGAACTTAAATATGTACATATCTTCACACGAATGCTCTAAGAAGTTTGTGATTTTAAGTTAATACTCTGAAATTGAAAAATTTATACCGCTACTCCCAGAAATTGTTTTATTTTATAGCAATACTCCGGACTGCCAACGAAGCAGAATATGTGGCACTTTAAATGATGACTGTAAATTATTAAGTATGTGTTGGTAATTACATAGTAATATAAAATAAAAGAAAATAATGTTTCAGACAAAATATAGAATTTGAAGGTACATATTTCATAATCAAATTTATAATCGTTGAAAAGATCTAAAAAATACAAATTCTAGACTATATCAACTTTAAAATTCTCTAAATTGTTATTAGAAACACTATTAGTAATTTATCAAATTAAAATATAAACACTTTATTTTTTAGTTTTAACACATTTTTATTTCAAATCGACATGGAGGAGAGTAATTATAACGCATTCAAGGTATTTTATTTATTTTTGTAATTAATTACCAACTCATACTTAATAAATATTCAGTCATCATTTAAAATGTCACGCATTCAGCTTAAATTCAGCTTAAATTGACTGCGTGGAGTATCATTGTAAAATTTAGTAATTTCCGGAAGCATTGGTGTAAATTATTTAATTTTGGCAACGGTTGCAGAGTTTGGTCTTATTTTAAGGGTAGTATGTAAATTATTAGGATTAAGCCATGTGTACCCCAACACTTATACTCCAATTTGTACCCCACAAGTTTGCACCAACATTTTGTGTTGATGTAAAACTAATTTTTGTTAACGCACCAACACTTTGTGTCCGTGTAAATTTTTGTTAACGCACCAACACTTGTGTCGGTGTAAACCGTCAAAATGTTTGTGCATAAGTGTGGTGTACAAATGGTGTACATTTTATGGTGTGAATGTAGCATGGTCCAAATTATTATTACCCAAATCAAGCAAGTACACCAATGTCATATGCTTAACCATCAACATGGTTACAAGCATAGGCTACAAAGCAACCTAGAAGGAGCTACAAAATTACAACTTATCAGTATTACAAGTAAGATACAAAGACATTACAGCATTTACAATAAAAAAAGGACCCAAAATTCCCTTCGAGGAGGCCAATACATGCCCTTCTACAACACAGGGAAGCCCAGTCACAATCAGCAGGTATGCATTGGCAGCAAGGCATCAAACATGATCTCTTCAAATATGTCATAGGGTGTAGCTTCATAAATCCCAAGAAGGCAAACTAGGCAGCAAGAACAAGACATGGTTATCATAGTAAATGTCACTATAACCATTTTAAAGGTTTAGCAAATGACAAAGGTGTAAGTGTTGAGCAAACAGTGAAGCAAGGTTGTAGAAGTCACAATAGCCAATCTTCAAACAATGAAATCCAGTGAAGCAGTGCTTTTGAATGGAATGTTGGTCTTTTTTTGAATTATATGTGTGAGAGTCAAATTCAAACATAACAAACTCCTTCAAGGATGTCGTAGATTCTTTGTTGGTTCCTTCTAGAATTTGATATATTATTTTAACTCGATTATAGATGATTTGAGAGCTTAGTCATCCTAATGAGGGCCGTTAGGGAATGAATTGACAATCCACTTGCTTGCATTCGTTCTATTATCTATTGAAGTTGCCTTTAAAAAAACTCCTCAAGGGATCGTTTCTGGAGTTTATAAAATAAAATATTTGGAAAAATCAGATATACAATCCAGGCGACGGCAAGAGGTTGTAGGCAACGGTTGAGAGAGTTAGCAAATGAAAGAAACTCCCTCACTTACCATTTGACTTTTCTTGGTCAAAATTTGTAAACTTTAACTCTGTTAAATGGAAAAAAAAGATTATATTATGACATAAATTATATTACTCCGTACTATATTCCTATTTTAATGTAATTTTCAAATATCAAATTTGTACCGAACAAAACCCCAGCAGAATCGCCGCTCAATATCCACGGTGGGTCCGTAGACATCCTCAACTACCAACACCTCTCCCTATTATTAACTTCACTTGGATGGAAACGTCAATTCCATGGATTCGCTCTTCAGTCATCCATCATCATCATCTTCCTCCACCTGTTCTCCCACCAGAACCCCTACCTTAGGCTCCCTCCCTCTCTCTCTCTCTTCCCCGGCAGAAGAAGAAGAAGAAGAAGAAGAAGCAGCAGCATTATTGCAGATATTTACAATCCCCTGCTGCAGATTTTCGGTTCCACAGATGGGTTGCTCCGCATCTCGCTCCGGTAGTCATGACTTCATCAGTCCTCAGAATTCGCATCCCGGCTCCCACTCTACTCCCGTCCCGCGGTCGCTCTCCCTTCCTTCCCGACCGGCGGTTCACCACCCGGCCCTAACCAATGGGGATAGCACCCATTTGGTTGTGCTAACCTCCACCACCTACGGATCACTCCTCTTAATCGACCGCCCCGAAATCCCCAACCCTGATTTCGGCTGTGCCCGTGTGAGTACCGAACCCATTTCCCCCCACTCGGTCGTCAACACGTGGGAGCTCATGGAAGGCCTGGAGGACAACGAAAACTCCGGTTCCGATTCTGCCCATTCCCCAAAAGTTTCTCCGGAGCACTCACCCAAGGGCAGGGAGGGCAGGATTGTTGTGTACTATACGAGCCTGAGAGGGATTAGGAAGACGTACGAAGACTGCTGCGACGTGCGAATGATCTTTAGGGGATTTCGGGTGTGCGTGGACGAAAGGGATATATCCATGGACTCGTCCTACAGGGAAGAGTTGCAGGGTGCGTTGGGTAGGGTGAGCTTGCCGCAGGTGTTCATAAGGGGAAGGCACATTGGGGGCGCGGACGAGATTAAGGGACTGAATGAAGCCCGGGAGTTGGAACACCTTCTCAAGGGGTTTCCTGTGAAGCAAGAGGGGACTTTGTGGTGCAGAAGCTGTGGGGACACGAGATTCTTGCCGTGCCCGAGCTGCAGGGGGAGCAGGAAGGTGTTCGCGGAGGAGGAAATGAGGCTGAGGAGGTGCCATGATTGTAACGAGAATGGATTGGTTCGGTGCCCCGGCTGCCTCCCCTAGTGTTTTTTTTAGGGAAAACAAATTAAAGGCTTTGGAATGCTTGGTTAATCAATAGCATCTTAGTTATTATCATCTTCACAAATAGAATGTGATTGAAAGAAATGCTAGCTAGATCTATCATCAGGCACTCAAAGTACATGGTGAGTTAGTGGTTTCTATGTTTTCTTGCAACGTTCCATCTATGAAGCAGCATTGCAATTTATTGTTATTGTTTTTGTATAGAGATTTCTACTTTTAATCATATTCTTCTTTAAAGTTAAAGGAATAATAAAACACATTCTCCATATTTGCTTGCCCTTTCTATGTGTGGATCGGACACAGAATTGACTCTGAATTGGGGATCTGATCTAAAGGTACAAAAATGAATTAGTTGCGAAGGTTCTTGTTGGAAAGAAACCTTTTCATTGTAGACTTTGGATTGGCTGAACTTTGTCTTTTCTTTTCTAAGTAAGTAACTAGGTCCGTTTGCTCAAATTGATCTGAATAATATGTTTGTTTACACGTGCGTTTGCTCGGCAAGAAAATTACTCAAGAAATATAAAGTTATTAAACTTGATGTAAAGACTAAAGAGCAATTTCTCAAAGAATTATTACTCTCTTTACTGAAATTAGTTCCAGCAAGTCATAAAGGACAAACATATTATTCAGATCAATTTGAGGAAATGCACAAAACATAGAATAAATAAGACATTGTTTGATGAAAAATTACCTTTGGTGGCGTCCAATCCAAACCATGAAACACGCAAGATTCACAATAGGATGATCCCACAAACAACAACATATAAAGTGCTTTTGAAGTATCAAATGTTTCCAGCATAAGGCTCACCATATTGGGTTTATGATCTAACATTATTAGCAGTTTGAACAGGACATAGATAATGTTATAATAAATGAAATGAGGTCTATGTTGGAGTTCCTACCTCGGAAAATAGAGATGAGTATCACTTGCATATATTGAAATGTGAAGCCCTACCTATCAGCTTAAGCTTTTGGGTTAGAATTGCGGATCCTGACTTTATGTGCAAGTGGTTAATTTTACCTGACACTCTATCCGTTTTTCTTGGCCCGCCGGAATTTTAACTGCCTATACATGTGACAATTTAATAATTCGTATTGGAATTGTTTTAGGGCTTGTTTGGAAACAGAGTTAACGTTTAGAGTTAGAGATTAGAGTTAGAGTTTAGCTGTTTGCATCAGAGTTGATGATTAGCTGTTTTATTTTTTATCGTTTGACAGTTGGATATTTAAAAAAGCTAATGTAATGTAAGTTACAAAAATGTCCAATTCAAAATGTATTCCTATCTTTTAAATGTTGGTTGATTTTAATGATATTCGGGTGAATTTTTGCATTTGTCATTATATTTTTTTATTTTTTTGCTAGCAAGTTTTAAAAATAGTTTTTTAGAGGGAATCATTAATTTAAAAAATGATAGAATTTTGTTAAAAATTCAATCCGTATGCAATATAAATGAACCAATAATTTACTCATTCTATCCCAAGTTTGTTTACATGTTTACTATTATCAGAGTCAACTCATTTAAAAAAATAATATTCATGTTACCTATAGTTTCATATATTTTTAATGTAGTTTTGAATTATGTAAATTTTATTTTTTTAATTTCATCTCCATTTTCAAATAAAATATATGGAGGCATTGAATATTATGTTAGTCAAGCATTGCAAACTAAAAAAATGTTTTTAAATTGGAACTAAGGAATAATAGTTTAGCATACCATAAGAAATGAACATTACATTAAAAAAATTAAAATTAACAAATTCTTCGAAATAAATAGATATTTAATTAAGTTTAAAAAATATTTACAAAATGACCCTATATCTCTCCAAAATGTTTGCTATTTTATCTTTAAGCAAGCTCATTTGTGATTCATGTGTGTCTCTGCAATGAGTAGTAGAAGTCTCATACTAAATCCTTCCTCGGATTCAATCTAGTCTCTCTTGTAACTAGTCCCAACCAGGAAAAAACGGGCTCCGACTCAAGAAGTCCATGCCCATGCCCGCAATAGGTTCCAATCTAAAGCTAAAACTACTTGACACCTCTTATTCCGAAAAACTTTTCATGTAGTTTATTTCTATACCAATATGTAAATGAAATGAATTGAAAAAACGTGATATTTTACTTCGGGATTACAAGTGTAGCAAATATTTAGGGACGGAGGGAGTAATGACTTTCTCACATATGTTTTTATTTCTCAATATAGGACCATTGATTATTATCTATTAGTCATTATTCAACTAAATATCCAGCATCACTTCGACATTATTTTGCTCACTGTTCATTATTAAGTCATATTTAAGAAATAAAAAAGTTTAAGTCCTACGTTGGAAAATGACTTATGTTTTAGTCGGGTAAATTTCACAAAAAGGAAGGGATTGCAACGAAGAGAAATGCAGCGCAGGAAACAGAGTCTTCCAAAACAACTAGAGAGTTTCAATCCAACGCAACCTCTTGCTCTATATTAACATATATAGGAGGTCTTCTTCAATACGGGGAGGGAGATCACAGAGCAGAATCGCCAGCCTAGGGTTCCGACCCTAGGTCCGGTGATAGAAATTGATGCAGTGGATGGCGGCAACAGTTGGGCGGCGTCTGGTCTGATGCAGCAACATCGATGGTGACTTTGATTCTGGCACAGGAAATGGACCAGGGAGAGATGGAGCATTTGTTCAACTTTTTTGTTCCGGTCTTGTTAATTAGGAATCCAAATCTTTTAATTTTTTAATTGATGAATTTAAATATCTAATATGTTTATGTTAATTTTCAATTGATGTGTAATTGAATGTTTAATTTAATACTATTAAGTGTTGATTTGTTTGAATGTCAATGTTGAATCTGTCCAAATTTGATTTTTAATTAAATTATTGTCTCTAAAATTACAAAATCTTCTTATGTCAAATTGTTTAATAACAAAGATTGAATCTTTGGTCTGGTTGTTCTTGTTCAATGAATTTGACTTTGGAAGAATTTTTTAGCTTCATGTTATTGTTAAATTTAAACTCAAAAAAGTCTTTTGAGAATTGTGCTTTGTTTATGGTTGAATTGGACTCAATTAGAAGTACACGCCTAACCTATTTTAAAATGACATTTCTTTAAAGTCCAAAGTACTTTAAATAACCAAATTTTTCTACTCCCTCCATTCTCATTTTGACTTTGGGCAAAAATAAGGAAAGTATATTTTTAGTTAACTTTCTAATTTTGTCTTTGATGTGATGGATAAAAGTAAGATGTGATAGTTTGGTTATTAGTGAAAAAGTATGATGTGATAGGCAGGATAAGAAAAAATATGGGTAAAAGTAGTTTTTTAATAGAAAGTGGAAGTATTTTAGGGAATTGAAAAAAACGAAAGGGAAAGGGTTGTATGGAACGAAGGAAGTAGAAACCAAATGTCACTTGATTAGTACTTGGCTACCTCATTAAGTGTTTTTGCTAATCAAGACACTCGAGCTGATTTTATTATGTAGCCGTAATGTTACTCCAAGTTGTTATGGTGATGTTTTCCACAAATCTTATTGCGCTGTTTTTAGTAGTAACTTTAGGGTTCATCTTTGGATTGCTAAAGATAGTAGGATTTAAAGTAGGAGTTCCTCACATGAGCTAGCTAGTATGAATCAGAGAATAGGGAATACAGGTTAGTGGAGCCCTTCTTCAGCCTAATCCTAAGTAGCAGCTTAATTTTAGAATCAAGGCATAATAAATAAAAAAAATTAGATTTGTTCAGTTTACTTTTGATTAATAACTATATGTATTTTCAAAATTGTTTAAGTTAATTATTATTATCTATGTTTTTATAAAGTTCAGCCCGGTTCTAGTGACACCAAAGAACAGTGCCACTCCGGTGCCACTACGTTTTTGGGGCACCTCCGGTGCTCCGTTCGTAAAATTGACGGTTCATAAATGAGAATAAAATCTAGCCGTTGGATTTGATGCATCGTGCGGCTTAGATTGCATCCTGCGCTCAGATTTTGAGATAATGCATTTTTAAAGGATTTTGGTGCATTTCGACATGATGCACTTTTAAACCATTTTGGTGCACCTAATTTTGATGCAATCCTGACCCTTAGATCTCACAATCTAAAGCACCAGATTCATTCTCATTTCTCTTTAATATATATATATATATATATATATATATATATTTGCATGTTAAGCGTGTCGTAGCACCTACAAATTAATTTATTGTTTTTTTTAACTTAAACTCCCCTTTATGAATTAATATTGACTAAAACACATAGATCAAGGAAAATAAGGGCCGAATCCACTAGGAAAGATATTCTTTATTATGCTATGAAAATCAATTCACTTTGTCACTTTAATTTAAAAAATAACTTAATAAAACTGAAAGATATGGGACTTTGAAAGATAAATTTAAAATGATAAAATATAAATAAAATAAGGATAAAGATAACAAATAAGAGAATGGAACCACCACATGAAGCTTAGAAGTATCCAGGGAGAGAACAAACACGCCAAAATATCACACAATAAACTTTATATATATATTTATATAAGTTGAAAAGTTTTACAGCATGAAAGAATAAGAAAATTGGGTTTTTAAGAATGAAATATTTGTACTAAATAGCACTAAACGTAAGTCATTTCTCTAAAGAACATTTAAATTATTTTATTTCTTAAATAGCACTTAATAATGTCCAGTGATGATAAACATTTACTTGAATAATAACAACTATTATATAATGATTAAAAGTTCTATATCGAAAAAAAAGACATGTGATGATATTTAAGAAAAATCATTATTTTTTAATGTTATTTAAGTAAATTCTTTTTTAAGAATTTGTAAGGTAAATTGTAAGATACACATGCAAATGCAAAATGCACAAGAGAGAGTCAAGCAATTGGAGGACTACCTATATATAGCTAGTAGTTAGAGCATTCGGTTGAAATCTAACTACAACTCCGTACTTGTTTGGTTAACCCAGCAGACAGGCATACTTTCAAAGTTTCAACAACATCCACTAACACTTCTTTTGTTGTTGTACAGGAACATTACAAATTTCACGTAGCCATCCAATCCCTAATCAGCTTTATCAACTTTTTAGGTTTCAGGGATGGGATCCTAGCTGTTTTTCTTTCCCAGTGTCAAACACGTACTTTTTTTCTTGCTTTCCTAAAAAAAATATTGTCACTTAATTAAAAGCTATCTAGGACCTAGGAAATGGAATTGAAGTTAAATAAAGCTACATTAATTAATTAGAATCCGTCCTGATAGCGATTGATGAGAGGATCAGCATTGTAGGGCGGCATGTCGTTGCGGCCGCTAGCGGGGCCCACTTCCGGGCCTCCTCGACCGCCGGGCAGCAGCCCCTGCCCGACCGGTGCACCGATGCAGGTGTAACTGTTCTCAAGGTTTGCCATGGCGGCGGGGGATTGGGTGGTGGGGAGGATGCGGCCAACCAAGTAGTCGTTCGCCGGATAGTGCGGTGGCGGGGCGTACGTGTGTGGCTGTCCGGTCGGCGGCGGTGGTATGATGGTGGCGCCCGCCGGTTGTCCCGGGAATAATCTTGGGGGGTAGATTGATCTGTAGTGGAAGTTTGGGTCTCCCATGTTTAGTGCTTGATACCTGCATGCGGACGTTATTTACAATAATTTTTACAATTCAGTGCACACATATATTGATAAATAGTTTTAATATTTACTGCTAGTAAATTAACATACATACCCCATAATTGGAAGGTGATGGGGTCCTTGGGCTAACAAGTTGGTGTCGGTACTGAAAACAAGTTGACGAGCACGGTTTAGGGTTTCTGTCTCCCTCTCTGTTTAAAAAAAAACACAAATTTAATTTGATGGATTATATTGCAATTAAAGGTCATTATTAGTTAAGAATATAGTTATAATGGTTGTGGATATATAGCTAAGTAAGCTAGCTAGGGACCTTGGCGGTGACGGTTCATGTGTCCCCCGAGAGCTTGAGACTTGCAGAATTTGAGGGAGCAAAACCTGCACTCATACACCTTATTACCACTCTCATCGCCGCCTTTCTTTTTCCCATAGCCGCCGCCGCCGCCCACTGCACTTTCCAAAAGCAAAAAAAGCCAAACTACTTAGTAGCTTATAGTTTACTAGCTTCCTAGCTAAAAGATTCCCAATTCTCTACATTACAACTTTGCCGCCCCCGTCCAAGGAGACAACCCCTCACTCCTAAATAGCAATATTCTGAAAATCAGACCAGACATTGACCCGGACAAGTGACAACCGGTCAACCTAGGGGTCAACGATCTGGTGAAATATATTACTTCCTCCGTCCCTTGAAGTCTTTCCCATTTTGACTTTTAGGAGAATTAATGAAGTGATATATTTGTATTCACTTTCTAAATATACTTTTTAATTATGTGATAGCTAAAAGTAAGATATGAATAGTATATTATAAGTAAAAAAGTATAATGTGATTGGTAGGGCATGAATTAACTGGGGTAAAACTGAATTTTTAATAGAAATGCAAAGCACTTTCTCGGACAAAGAAAAAAAGAAAGGAGAAAGAATTTATAGAAATTATGAAATGTCACAAGTAATAGTGAATGTCTAACAAATACTTAAATAATAAACCAATACTCATTTTTTCAAAAAAAGTATAAATTTATGGTATAATTTTTTTTACTTACTTTAAGATAAAAAGAAATAATGCCAAATATAATTTTTCAAATGTGTTTTTTCTCTAATTCTATTTCTATTGTAATTAATACTCCCTCTGTTCTCAAAAACACTTCCTCTTTCATTTTTTCCACTTCCAACAAAACACTTCCCCTTTCTATTAAAAAACCACTTTTACCCTTACTTTTTCATACCCTACCTATCACATCATACTTTTTCTCTAATAATCTATCTATCACATCTTACTTTTACCCATCACATCAGGGGCAAAATTGGAAATCAACTATAATTTAACACTTCCTTATTTTTGTCCCCAAATCAAATGGGAAGGGTTTTTCCAAACGGAGGGAGTAGATATTTCTTGATTTTTAAAATGATACTCCCTCCGTCCGGAAATGATGTTCCCATTGTACGTTTTTTTCCGTCCGGAAATGATGTTCCCATTCTACTTTTTATAACAATTTTTCCTAAATTACCCCTCCCATTAAATCTCTTTTCATCTTCTTTCATTACCCATTTATTTATATGAGGTCAAAAGTTTTGTCTAGTTTGTATCGAAAAATCAAACTAGACAAATAGTTCAGAAATATTCGTATTTTATATCGTCCATTTATAAAAAGCTAATTAACTTTCATGAAATTTAAGAAAAGTGTAGGTAGAAAAGTGTAGATAGAAATGATTAAGAGGGGATAAAGAAATTTTCAAAGCAACAACCTCTTCATTTTAAAAGGGAAGTAATGTTTTTGAAATATTTGCACTAAATAGCACTAAAACATAAGTCATTTCTCAATGTAGGACTTAAACTTTTAAAAAATCCCTAAATAGGACTTAAAAATGTCTAGAATAAGAAATAATGTCCAATGACATTCAATATTTACTTGAATAATGACTAATGAATAATAACTAAAAGTGCTACATTGGGAAATAAATATATACTCCCTCCGTTCTCAAAAACACTTTCTCTTTCATTTTTTCCACTTCCAACAAAACACTTCCCCTTTATATTAAAAAACCACTTTTACCCTTACTTTTTCATACCATACCTATCACATCATACTTTTTCTCTAATAATCTATCCATCACATCTTACTTTTACTCATCACATCAGGGACAAAATTGGAAATCAACTATAATTTAACACTTCCTTATTTTTGCCCCCAAATCAAATAGGAAGTCTTTTTCCAAACGGAGGGAGTATTATTTGATTTAGGGAAAGTCGTTATGTTTTAGTGCTATTTAAGTAAATTCTTCAATTTTTTTGGATGAATGAAAAAAATATTTAAGTACTACGTCTGTCCCGGAGTATTTGTCTAGTTTTGACTTTTTTAAGTCAATCGTTTTTAACTTTTGACCTGTAATTAAATAAAAATATATATTGTATATTAATTAAATAAAAAAAATATTTTAAAAATATTTTATATAATAAATCTAATGAAACTACTTTTGTATCAATATATAATATCATTTTTATATGATTTGAAGTGAATATTTACCATTTTGAACGAAAAAAGTTAAAAATGGATAAACATTCCCAGGACAGAGAGAGTATGAAAATTTAATGGAACAGATGAAGTAATTCATACTTCCCATCAATACATTAACGAAGGGAAATATATACTCCGTATATCGTAGTACATTTTTATCTTTATATAATAAGCTATTGATTAAATTTATATGCTTGTTATTATCTTAACTTTAAACCATTTATATGGCACCGTATGTTATACTCCGTAGTAATTTTCATGGTTTGCTCGGATCTCTTGGAAACAATTTTCCTATATTCGAGTGTGGGCAAGGTCTTCGTACACACACCCTTCTAAAATCGTATTTTCGAATGCTTCAAATGGACTATTGTTGTTGTAACTTTCATGGTTTATTTAATTTGATAAAATAAATTAAAGTTGTGAAATAAGAAAGAAAGGAGGAAGTATATAATTGGAGAATTTTATCAATTTACTTTCTAAAATTTTCTTTAATTTTTAAATGAATACTTTGGTTCCTAAAATTCTTTCCACTTTCACTTTCATGCCTCCCCAAAAAGATTTCTACTTCTGGCATAATAGAAGCAATAGAGCTATTTGCCCTTACTATTGGTTACTATTCCTTGACGAGATGGTTCCCTAAAGATTAAAGTGCATTATATTAGGACTATGAATAAAGTATGAGTAGAAAGTCAACCACAAAACATATCCCTCCCTTCCAAGTTTTTTCTTCCTGCCATGTTTTTTTTAAAGTCTGATGCAAGTTATTTTAAAAATTATTTAACATGATACTCCATAGTATAAAATTAAAAAATAAAATTACAAATTTAAAAACCAAATAGGAAAATATACAAAATAGAGGTGGCATTATTATAAATTATTCTATCAAATGGGTAACCAAAGAGACAAATAATTTTAGAGACAGAGAGAATTTAATATAACTAAAAATAACTTTATTCAAATCTAATACATTATATTGTAAGGTAACCTTAATTTTCAAATAAATAGAATTAATAATAACTTCATTTGAAAAAAATAAATTGTAATGCAGGAGATAATTTGGATTTTGATAGCAGAAATAGTTCAAAATAAATATTCGGTAATGGCGAATTTATTACCAGAGTGAAGTTAGTGTATTCTTAAAATTTACATGCTCGGTATGTAATTAACTAGTACGAAAAATATTCTATTAAAGTGGGAAAAGTGAATATAAATATTGTATATGATTTTTATTTTTAAGGGAGTATAATTAAATAAATAAAAAGAGCAATCTTGGGGCGAAAAGCATCTCCCTTGATGGGATAATCAAATAAATTAACGGACGTATATAGGTAAAAGGGATCCTGGTTTTTGATGGGGCTCAATAGTCAAACCTTACCTTGTGTCTTTTTTAAAAAAAAAAATAATCGAACGAAGGCACTTCAAAATTCGAACTAGGGACATCAAGATCACGAGAAAATAATCGAACCCGCCAACACAAATAAAAAAGAGTTACATTACCAAACAAAACCTAAATGAGGTTTTTGTTCTTTTTTGTGTTAGCGCCAAAAGAATTTTTCATTTCATTAAAGAGAAGAATTATTAAGTGTTATTTAAGGAATAAAACAATGTAAGTACTATTTAGAAAATAACTTAAGTTTTAGTGCTATTTAGTGCAAATATTTCTTTTATATATACTAGCTTCTTTTATTTAATTTCAAATGTTTTAGAAAGTGTACAAATAGATTCAGATAGAATTAGTATAATGACTAGAAAGGTATTGCACAATAATAATCAAGCCTGGCTAACTTCGATTTACATATATATTCTCAAGTTTCACTTTGTGGTCCTCTTGTATGTAACATGGATTATTATCAGTTTTCATGCTTTCCACTACCTCAGCTCTATAGTGTTGTTACATTAACGTAGCTCTCGCAAAATGATACTCCCATCCGTAACACTTTATCTCTCCCCTAAAGAAGTTTCACTTTTTTTTAACCATCTCAAATGAAGATTTCACTTTTCATTTGTGAAAAGTATCTTGCCACTAATTTTATTTTTTTTCTCTTAAACACTTGATTATGCAATTTCACTTCTTTTATATATTGATATTAACTTAAAACAGATACTCTATTATAATCGAATCAATTAAAAATACAATCTAATGTAAATAGTTATATGGACAAAGGATATATTAGAAATGTATCATGTTTGTTCACCTATTTGTTAACATTTTCTCGCAAACGCGCGGACACAATAGAAGGAACATTTGACCACTTTATTTCCTTCACCTATCTATTTAAAATATTTTTTAAAAAAAGATGATCACTTCGTGACCATATTTTCATTCGTATCTTTTTAAGGAAATGAAAATAGATAGCTCGAAAACTAAACTCTTGACGGATCAGAGAATGATAAAAACAATTTTATAGTAAACAAAATAAAATAAAATAAATACCGGCAGCACAAGAAGAGGTGTCTTCAGGGTGTTGTTTTCCATCAACAATGCTGGAGTGATCTCCATCTGCTGCTGGTAAGTGATTAAGGTCTAGTGGTTTCCCATTCGTTCTTCTGAAAATACATATATATATATATGTGTACAGAAACAGCTAGATAAGTATTTAAATCCAAAAAGTATTATATTACTCCTTTTTATGGAAGAAGAAGAAGAAGAAGAAGAAAAGAAAGAAAGAAAGAAAAGGAACTTACTGGAGTCCCATAGGTGGTGCCGTTGCTGGTAGATCTGGAAGACAGTCCATTTAATTTGAGTTCTGTGTTGAAAGAAACTACTCCGATCCGTATAAATATATATTTATATATATGTGTGCCGCGACTGCTAGCTAGCTGCTAGTTACGAGTGGGAGTTGTGACTTTGTGAGCGAGGGGTATAATATAGTCCTCACTCCGTTAGGGATTGTGTCAATCACACCACTGAGGTTACAATGGTCACTCACCTCTACTATTCTCTCCCCTCCTTAAATGTCGTTTTTATTTTCATTTTTATGTGATTTATGGAATGAGTATTTTTGTATTGATTTTCTCAATTTATCTTTAGTGACATTTGTACTAAATGGTATTAAAATATGAGAAATGCTTGAGTCACAAACACTTTGGTCACAAAATACACAAACTTACCATTTGTGCACCTCACTAAATGAATAAAATAATGTTGAATAATTAAAAAGTAAACATTTAAATACACAAATGGTAAGTTTGTGTATTTTGTGACCAGTGAATACTGAACAGTAGTTCTACATTGAAAATAAAAACATATGGTACCACATTAAAAGTCATTATAATTTAGTAATATTTAGGTAAATTTTTCTTATCCGTAATGTGATGGTGTCGATTGAAAGTAGGATGTAAAAAGTAAAATATTATTAAAAGAATATTATGTGATAGCTAGTATAAGAATTAAAATGAGTAAAAATGTTTTTTTAATAGAAAGGAGAAAGAAATTTGAGACAAGGAAAAAAGTACTTTCTACCTTCGTTCCTTTAAATCCTTCCAGTATTGACTTTTGGGAAAAATAAGGAAAGTGTAATTTTGATTGACTTTTCAATTTTACTCCTGATGTGATGGGTAAAAGTAAGATGTGATAGTTTGGTTATTAGTGAAAAAGTATGATGTGATTGGTAGGGTATGAAAAAGTAAGGGTAAAAGTGGTTTTTTAATATAAAGTGGAAGTGCTTTAGGGAATTCAAAAAAAACGAAAGAGGAAGAGTTTTGTGGAACGGAGGGAGTATAAGTTAAAAATCGGTATATGAATAATTAAAAGTATAAGTTAAGTTGTTTCAAAATACATCAAAAGTTCTACTCCCTCATGTCCTTAAAACTTTTCCTATTTGTAAAAAGATGCATCTTAAAATGGTGTAATTTTAGTGTTATTTTCTATTTTTAAATTTATTTTATAATAGGGTATGATATAAGGGGATCTAGGGGAAGGTTCCCATGACATTGGGAACCAATGTCATGAGATGACCCGGGGGTGCTCCGGTTCTCCGTTCGTAAAATTGACGATTTCTACCCCTTCTAACCCCCTAACCCCCCAGTATGTAGTTAATTTTACGAACGGGGCACCGGAGCACCCTCATGTCATCCCATGACATTGGTTCCCAATGTCATGGAAACCAAGGGGATGATATAATATGTAAGATAGATGAGAAATAATTATAAAACAACACCAAAACTTTAGATTTTTAAGGCTCGTCTTTTTTAACAAGAAAGGATCTTTTGGATGGATGGAGTAAAAATTAAGAGATTAAAAGGATAATTTATTTCATCAAATGATTAATGAAAGTGTACCAACGAACAAAAGTTATCGAGCAACCGTAATAATAGGTATTAGTGGCATCCATTTAAAAACGGAGGGAGTATTTTTTGAGTAAATAACTCTTTTCCTTATAGGGAGTATTTTATTTATCATTTCATAGAATAATATAATAATGCCATGCAACTATGAATATTGAATTGAGCGCAAGTATTATTCATTCGATCTAGAAAATATATACTCGTTCAAAAATTAGTTTCTCACTGTTCATTGAAATGTTCGCCTAGAATTATTTTCAAACCATTTTATATTGGAGTACGTATATCATTTTTTTGAGGAATATTGTGGTATATAATAAAAAAAATAAGAAATACAAAATTTAAAAGTACATTAAAAGATATACGAGTGCAAAACTAGAGGTGTCATCATTATATTATTTTATCAAATGGGAAAAAAAATTAGGCTAACAATGTCACCTTAGTAATGTTTGACCATGTAAATAGTGGACGAGAAAATAATTTTTAGATGAAGGGAGTGCATATATATAATTCCTCAATCTTGAAATGTTCTTCTCATGCACAAATCATTCAATCAAAATTAACTTAATTTGTTTGCTTATTTTCATTTGTTATTTTATTCATCATCCATCCTATAATTATCATCTCAATTACCATGTGTACGGTCAAACTTTATTTACTTTTTTTACTTGGATTAATTAGTCATTTGATAAAATAATATATTCATGTCACTTCTAGTTTTGTAATTGTTTCATCTCATAAAACTTTTCAAAGACAAAAATAACGCACCTTAAAATGGAAAATTTTGATTTTATTTTCTAAATATGACTCATCTATCCTACTATACACATCACATCCTAAATTTTTAGTAAGAGCAACTTTTGTAATTAATTTCAAAGTTACAAATTTTTAGGGCAGGCTTTTTTTGGAAAGTTTATAGGAAGTAGAATCTTTGATATAGTTTTTAAATATATAACTTTTATTTTTAAGTGCTACACCTATAATCAAATAAATTGAATTAAAAATAAATTTGGTCAAATCTCGTAAACTAAAACAGAAAGTTGATTTTAAGACGAAGATAGTATATGATACTCTATCTGATCTATCTCATATCTTCTCATTTGACTTTTTACGGTATTCAATACAATACATACTTTGATCATTAATATCTCCATATATAAAAACATAGATTATAAAAATGTGATATTTCAAAATTACATTTTTAAAATGAATCTATTGACATTAAATTTTTATTAAAGTTCAATATATTTTTCTATCATTTAATATAGTCAAACCATTTTTTCTTTATTTTCATATTTCCATTGATCTTTTATTATATGTTAAAATAAAATAGTTCTGTCATCTTTTATTTTGTAAAAATTTTGATATATAGGATATAGTTTTAAAATTTATACACTTTATTCTAAATTTTTTGCACCAATAATTAAATAAATTGGATTAAAATTACCTTTAGTCAAACATATTAAATTGAAACATGAAAATAATTCCCATTTCCCAAACCATTTTAACCTTAAACATGAAAATATATTTTAACCTTACTTTGATGGGAGAAGTAAATTCAGGATGTTGATCGAACAATCCAAATTCTTTCCCTTTCAGAACACTGATAAAAAAAATAGACATCGAATGGAAAAATTTGACCGATGGCAGGTTTAGCTAATCTTTTGCAAAGAAAATTTTTTTAACACCAAAAAGAAAGCTTTGAACATCTTCCCATTTCCCAAACCATTCCTAATCTCTAGCTAGCATCGTACATGATGCTGTTTGAGCGACTTTCACTAAACAGTTCAATGACACATAAAGGCTAAAGCTGTGGGGTATAGTAGAAGAGAAACTAAGCAAAAAATGATGTTTCACTTTAAAATTTTGTTAGGATAAAAATTTGAAAAGAAAATAATTATACCTATAACTCTATAAGGACAATAAAGACAAAACCGATTGGCTTGCCGTCACAGAAGAGAGAGCATGCTAAAGATTGTATAGGATGACCCCCAAAGCTTCCCACCTTTCATTGAATTGTTTCCATCACTATGATATGGTACAACTTTTTTCACACCTCTACCCATAGGAAATGAATGAGGAACTAATGTATGTGCACTATAATTAATTAATCCCACCACATGTGCCGAGTAATTATTTTCTTTTCTGCAACTTTGAGATTTCAAGCTATTTGGCTTGTCAAGAAAAAGGTTAAAAAAAAAAAACAAATTCAAAAGCATGTACGGAGGGGGTGTTTTTCCTAATAGGGTCAGAACTGCTTATAAGCTGTTTTTAATTTTTAATCAGATGATGACCACTTTCTCTATAGTTATAATTTGACTTATAAGTTGCGAATAAGTAAAAAAATAAGCAGGTCTTGCCTACTTATTTTTAAGTTAGCTTTCGTTTCTCTATTAATTTTAACTAGATTGTTTACAAAACTATCGATCCCTCACTACTTCTAGGAATATCCCTAAATAACTTATCAATCATTTAAACCATTTTACTTTCACACAAAAAAGATTTAAATTATAAGCAGCTTATAAGTTAAAAGTTATTTAACAACAATTAGGACCAGCACTGAGAAACAACTTGTTGGAAGATAATTATCTTCCCCGGTGTTACATATTCAGAGAACTTTTGATCTATGGGAATCCAACGAAATAAATAAAAATTTGTTGGGCAAATAAGGTAGGAATGTGTGTATTTAGATAATTTTGTGTTACAAACCACGTAGGGATTACAACGGACATGGAAGATGAACGGATTCTAATAAGGTAGTGTCTTGCTTGTAGCTCTTCCAGCTTACAACCTTTCTGTTTAGACAATAAACATAACCTACCTGTGACTTAAAGTCATCTCTGTCCATTTTGAAGCTTGGATCTGTGTAACCATTTACTCTGAGCTCTTCCTGTTCACCATAAACTAAGAAGGCGTCCTTAGTTCTTCGTAAATACTTCACCAGGATTAAATTGGTATCTACTCCTGATACTAAGTGCATAGGCGACGTCAGGTCTCGTACTTATCATGGCATACATGATCAATCAAATGGCAGACACATATGGAACATTTTCCATGCATTTCTTTTCTTCCTCTGTGGAAGGTCCTTGAGTCTTGGAAAGACTAATTCCTTGGACCACTCGCAAGTTCCCTCTCTTAGATTCTTCCATGTGAAATCGTTTGAGAATCTTGTCAATGTATGTAGTTTGACTTAAGCCAATCAGCTTCCTTGATCTATCCCTATAGATTCTGATTCCAAGAGCATAGCCTGCATCTCCCAAATCTTTCATAGAGAATTTTTTACTCAACCAAGTCTTTACAGAGGATAGAGTAAGAACATCATTCCCAATTAATAATATGTCATCTGCATATAAATTAAAGCAAGAAAGACTATGGTACTCCCACTAGCCTTCTTGTATACACAAGATTCATGTTCATTTATTTGAAACCCATAACTAGTTATGGTCTCATGAAATAGAATATTCCAACTCCGCAAGGCTTTCTTCAATCCATAGATTTATCGCTGTAACTTTCATACCTTGGCAGATTCTACGGGGATGCAAAATCCTTCATGTTGTGTCATGTATACATCCTCAATGAGGTTTTCATTTAGAAAAGCTATTTTTACGTCCATTTTCCAGATCTCGTAATCATGATATGCAGCGATAGCAAGTAGTATCCTAATGGATTTTATCATCATGACTGAGAAAAGGTTTCATCTTAGTCAATACCATGTATTTGTCTATAACCTTTTGCTACTAATCGTGCTTTGAAGGTCTGTACCTTCCCATCTTTGTCAGTCTTCTTTTTGAAGACCCACTTGCACCCAATCTGTTTGACTCTAGTGGGTGCATCAACCAAAGTCCATACTTGGTTTGTGTACATGGAGTCCATTTCAAATTTCATGGCTTGACTCCATTCCTCGGCCTATGGGCCAGTTATGGCCTCAAGGTGGGTCTCATGTTCGTCGTTCTTGATGATCGAGTAACACGCGACGTCTCCTTCACAAGTTAGGAGAAAGTCATACCTCTCGGGTAGATTTTGTGTTCTCATGGACCTTCGGAAGACTTGTACTGTGTTTCTTGGGTGGGTTGAGGGACAACGATTTGTTCCTCTTGATGTCTCTCTTCGTCTTGTTAGTTATCTTCTTTGTTGTCTCAAATTTGTTTGAGATCTATCGATCTTTCTTTCATCAATTTGGATAGAAATTCTTTTTCTAGAAAGGTTCCATTTCGGGCAACAAACACTTTGTTGTCTGTTGGATGATAGAAATAATATTCATGAGTTTCTTTTGGATATCCAACGAAGACACATTTGTCGGATTTGGCGTCAAGTTTGCCTGTCGTCAATAGACGTTTGAGATATGCTTCACAACCCCAAATCTTCATGTGAGATAACCTCGCGCTACAGCCAGTCCATATCTCATATGGTGTTCCTTTTACTTCTTTAGTTGGAACAATAGTTAGAGTGTATATTGATATGTTCAACGTGTATCCCCAAAATGAGTCTTGGAGTGTTGCATGACTCATCATGGATCGAACCAGGTCCAACAGTGTTCGATTTCTCCTTTCAGATACTCCATTCCACTGTGGCATTCTAGGAGGAGTGAGTTGAGAAAGAATCTCACGCTCTTTCAGATAGTCATAGAACCCATGGCTTAAGTATTCTCCTCCACAATCAGATCGCAAAGTTTTGATGCTTTTTCCCAATTGTTTCTTTACTTCATTTAGAAATTCTTTGAACATTTCAAATGATTCTGATTTGTATTTCATCAAGAACACATAACCATATCTACTAAGATTGTTAGTAAAGGTAATGAAATATGAGAAACCTCTTCGGACTATAATATTAAAATTAAAGGTCCACATACATCAGTATGTATGAGTGCAACAAGATCACTAGCCCTTTCACCTTGATTGGTAAATAGAGTCTTTGTCATCTTACCTAATAAACAAGATTCGCATGTATCATATGATACAAAATAAAATGCCTCCAATACGCCAGTTTTGTGCAATTTGGATATGCATTTCTCATTAATGTGGCCTAACCTATAGTGTCATAGATACGTCATATTCATGTCATTTTTTTGAACTTTTAGTTGAAATGTCATAGATTGATTTGTCCATGTCTAGAATATATAATCCACATATCATATTAGCTTTAGCATAAAGCATATTGTCTTTATAAATGGAGCAACAATTGTCCTTTATTGAAACGATAAAACCAATTTTATCAAGACATGATATGGAAATTATATACTCCGTATTTACTAATCGAAGGAATGAATAAGCAATTCTCTAATAGTAAGACAAATCTAGATGGTAAGGTTAAGCTATAGGTGCCAACAACTTGTGCCACAACTTTTGCGCCATTGCCAACACAAAGTTCAACTCGCCACGAGCTAACTTTATACTTTCCCTTAGTCCCTGCATCAAAGTACAAATATGAGATTCGTATTCCGTATCAAGTACCCATGCAGAGGAAGTAGACATGTTAACTTCTATAAACATACATACCACAAGTAGAGGCATCACCCCTTTTTCTCTTCAGGCTGTCACAGTGGTCCTTTGCAATCAAATACCTTTCGTGCTCGTCATCCCCTATGAATACATCACTTAATCGCATGTTCATATCGTATGATTTAACCCCACTAAGTTGATGCGAGAACTCCTTTGACATTGAGGCTTGCATGATTTCAAGAGCAATTCCATTATTGTGTACGTGCTCATGATAGATGTTCACGTCTCTGATGATCGTAACACGAGCCCTTGGACGGTCTGGTCTTGTCCTATAAAGAACATACTCAATTTCAATCGCGCAAAGCGCCTTGATCAAATCAGTGCGCCAGACGAGGAAATTAACGCCACGCAATTTCGCCTTTTTAAGGAATTTGCGAACGTCTTTTGTCTCTAGGTGGTCACTAGTCATCTACAGATAATTTGCGAGATAGTTATAATCAAGAATCTAAGTAATTAGCTAGGTCTCTAACTGAAAACTCTCCCACTATTTTACCAAATCAACTACCCTCAAGTACGTAACCAATTGATTCGAGATTAGATATCTTAGTGGGCCAAGGTCCATATTACATTAAACTATAGTTATGATTTGCATCTTGCCCTATAGTTAAACTAATTAGGTTGGAACTTTATTTCCAATTGCAACCCTATTACAGTCATTGGTTTGCTAGGTTTTTTTAAACAAAATCTTATATTGGGCCTAGATCCTTATTTCATTTAACCATAGTTGTGGTTTGCATCTTTCCCTATAGTCAAACTATTTCAGGTAGGAACTAATTTCCAATTGTAACATTTTACAACTCTAGGTTAGATGATTTTGATTTTATTTATTAACCTAACCATGTGCCTCTAAGTTATTCATCCTTTTACCTTAACTTAGTTAAGTCCAACCCTAGTCGTACTCAATATCCATTGTTACGGATTTCGCACAAGCTTAATATAACGAGGGATTTTGATGTGGTCTCACCTATTGTATGTGCCGTGAACATACTCTAGCGATCATCATACAAGCGTACATTCAATCATACAAACATGTATAATAAAAACGTGTCATGATTGTGGCTTCCAAAAGCAACTAATGATAACGCCTTCTCTTAAGATCTCTATCTCTAGCTCCATTTTCTTTATTTATGAATGCTTCAGCCTTCAGGTTCATCTCACCATTGTCTTTTATTTGAGATGAGGCACGAAACTCAGGTCGTATTTAAAAACCATACATTCTAAGCCACAACCATGCACAATGCAAACATACATACATCACATGCATAAAATCCATACATCGGGCAAGCCGCGCTCGTCCCAGACCTAGTTTATTCTAATAAAATAAACTATAAGCCAAACAGTATCAAATAATTCATTAAAATTTATTTTAAGACTTGAAATACTCATAATATTTAATTCGGATTTTTTCAGAAATTTTGAAATATTATTATCGTAAATATATGTAGTTATTTCAATATTGGGATTTTAATTCAAAATAAATACTTATACCTTTTGAAAATTTATAAATAAATTCCATAATATGTATTTGAATTTTATAAGTCCGAAAAAAAACTTTCAAAATTTATGAAACATTAATTTTGTAAATTCGGAAGTGGTTGGTGAAAATGCTAGAAAGATCTGCATCGATTTTTTGGGTAATTATTGCAAATGGGACAATCCATTTGCTCGTTTATGTAAGAATGCCCATTACTCTTCTCAAACAATACTCTTAAAATTGTTCAAGAAATAACTACGGAGTATTTCAGATTTTAACAAATGCTAAAATAATATTTTAACTTGTCAAGGAACCAATTCAACAAAAAGCTCAAGCTTGTGGTTGTGGCTCAGAAAGAGTTATTTATATTCTAACACGCCCCCTCATGTGCCGGCGTAGTCTTTTTCGAGCCTTGCACGTGAAACTTTAATTTTTTTCAATACTGGGTGGCGCTGAGTTTTGAACCCGCGACCTCTTAGTCAACAAGGCTCTGATACCATATCAAGGAACCAATTCAACCAAAAGCTCAAGCTTGTGGTTGTGGCCCAGGAAGTGTTATTTATATTCTAACATAACTCCAAAATATTATAAGTGTAGTGTTTAAAAATGCATCTTGGAGAGATTTAATTGTAATTATCAAATTAAAATTTACCCTAAAAGATGGACTAAAATATACATAATCAAAGGGTAAAAATAGCACAATTATGGATGTAACACAATATTAAGGATAAGTGTTAAAGATAAGTGGTAGCTAAGGATGGCTTTGTATATTTGAATAGTCATAGTTACGAGAGTGTGTTATTATCCCATAGTTTTAGCTTTTTACTCCTCTTCCACATGTATAGGTTTGTTCATCCATTTACGTAGCTCTATTAGTTAGGCTCCTCATGTGTATAAATACTCCCATTGATGTTAATCATATAAACTAAAATCATTCACTAATACTCTGTGCTCTATATGGTATAAGAGCTCGTCCCTTAAACTGAATTTTTTTTGCTGTGGCCATATGCATTTTCTATATCTTTAGTCGGCAATGTCTTCCGGCAGTGAGTCCTCTAATTATGGCTCGTCATCAGGTCTTGTTCGGATGTCCGCCTCTAAACACTTCCCTATCAAGCTTACCAAGACCAGGCACCGTCAAGTCCAAACTACTCTCATCGGTCTGGATCTTCTTGGTTATGTCGATGGCTCAGTTCCAACGCCATCGCCCTTTCTCGACGCTGCTCACACGAAGCCCAACCCTACGTATACTCTTTGGTATCGTCGGGATGCGATTCTTTTCAGTGCACAGAGTGTAAGGGGACGAGAACGGGTAGGGAGAATAGAACGACCGGTGTGAGAAATAGTTAAAGTTTTACCGTTACCCAAATGAATTTCATCCCGTCCACCATACTCCATTAGAGAGCTCAGCGAGGAGGGATCGTTGGCCACATGATGAGACGCGCCACTGTCCACAATCCATTGAGTATCCGGTGGTCCAGCAGTCCCATTGGAAACCGTAACATGAGCAGCAGGACCATATAGAAGATGAGGAGTAACAGTGACATTGTTGTCCCGTAAAAACCGCTGAAGCTTCCTGCAGAATTTAGTGTCATGGCTGGCCAAATCACAGAAATAACAGTAGCAGCAACCATGATTTGAGTTTGTGGTACCGCGGCCATGCATGCCTCCTCGGGAAACACCAGAGCGACCACCACGACTAAAAGCTCCTTCACGAGCACCAGTATGCATACGCAGGGGATGATTGGCCGTGGGAACAAGGTTAGCCGAGGCAGCAGAACGATTGAGAATCTCAGGCTCACAATCCTTTAAGATAGTAGTAAGTTCATCAATGGAGATGTCGGCGTTGCATCCCCGCAGTGATTGGTATAGAGCAGAGTAATCCTCACCAAGTTGGGACATAATATGAACAGAGAGATCCTCATCGGTCACTGGACTACCGGCCAAGGCAAGATCGGCCGCAATGGATGTGATATCTGCAACAAAGGCTTCAACGGTACGATTACCGTGGGGATTTTTTTACTAGTTGAGACTTCAGCGAAATAATCCGACCACGAGACATATTAGCAAGATTCTTGGCCAAGCGAGACCAGGCATCCGCTGTATTGGCAGCAAGAGAGATCAACGGCTGGACGAGATCCGTGCAGCTACCGAGAATGGCACGGAGAAGAATCGCATCCTGACGATACCAAAGAGTATACACAGGGTTGGGCTTCGTGTGAGCAGCGTCAAGAAGGGGTGATGGCATTGGAACCGAGCCATCGACATAACCAAGAAGATCCAGGCCAATGAGAGTAGTTTGGACTTGACGGCGCCAAACAAGATAGTTGGTCTTGGTAAGCCTGATCAGGGAGTGTTTAGAGGCGGACATCCGAACAAGACCTGATGACGAGCCATAATTAGAGGACTCACTGCCGGAAGACATTGCCGACTAAAGAGATAGAAAATGCATATGGCCACAGGAAAAAAAATTCGGTTTAAAGGACAAGCTCTGATACCATATAGAGCACATAGTATTAGTGAATGATTTTAGTTAATATGATTAACATCAGTGGGATTATTTATACACATGAGGAGCCTAACTAATAGAGCTTACATGGATGACCAAGCCTATACATGTGGAAGAGAAGGAGTCAAAAGCTAAAACTATGGCATAATAACACACCTCTCACCTCTCGTAACAACTATTCAAATATACAAAGCCATCCTTAGCTAGTGCTTATCTTTAATACTTATCCTTAAAACAAAATTTTTATACTCTGTGCTCTATACACAATACACCAACAATAATATTACAACATGCAATCATTATTCATAATCGTAATATAACTAAATAACAAATAGTGGTCTAGTACTACATCTTAAGATACACACTGTTGGGGATAACAAAGACAATATGGATCAATTTGAGAGTCATGCAGCACTTTAAGATCGATTATTTTGGTTGTTCGATCCAAAAATCAATCGGATATAACTCAAATTTGACAACATATATGGATTGATGTAAATTTTCGAACTACTTTCTCGACCAAAGATTTACGAGATTTATAGAGCCGCGGAATGAAAGAAAATATGCGGTCAAGTCTCCCATGTAAAATGTGCATCCCATCGCGCGAACTTCAAGAGAAACGGACGCTATCTTTTTCCAAAAATTTCCTTTAGAAAAAATTCAAAAATTAAAAATTCAAATCAATTTTTAACATAGCCAGGGGCTCTCCCGCCCCTTGAACCCTGCTCGGGGCCGCCGCCCCCGAACCCCTGCCAAGGGGGGCTACCCCCTTGGAGCACCCTTAAAAACATGACTTTTATCATAAAAAACTCAACGAAGCGTGCACTCCGATCCGCATCACCAAGCTTATTTGAAGATTATTATGATACCATTAGTCAAATAGTTTTTTCAATTACACTAAAATATATAACACGCACTTGCCCTCATGCAACATACATAATGAAAAGGCAAAATTAGAAAATCAAAATAATTATCATCTTACATTAAAGATTATGTCAAGTCAAATTGAGAAATGTATAGAAATGTCGAACTGAGAAAATTTAATGAAATTTGTCGAATGAGTATATTTTTCTAAAAATTATATTAATAAATTTATAAAGTAAGTGGTGACTTAACTATTTTATTTTAAGAATTGATGATTAGAATTATGTAAAGGTAATAGATATTGTTTGATTTTGGATAGTAAAATGAATTCGTTCTTTTTTACTCTAGGAAAAACTTAAGTATTCATAAAAATAATTACAACGGGTAGCTCTAGTTTGTGGTAAATACTCCAAGGTCGTACCATATTATTCAAAATTACTCCATTGGTGTTTAAAATTTGTTGCAATATACTCCCAAGGTATATTCAGTTATATCCGTCCATAGAGTCGTTCGAAGTGAATAATCCATTAGTTTGACTATGGGAGAAAGACTAAAGTAGGACTAAAGCAATGAAAATATAGTGAAATAGGACTTCCATGTTTTTATTACCGAAATAGGACTTACATTACCAAACATGGTCATGTACATTACCAAAAAAGTCCTATTTTAGTACTTTTTTCTATGTTTTAGTCCTATTTAGGGTGATTTCTATTTGACTATCCTAAATTTCTTATTTTACCTTTATCATAATTCCTCTAAGATGCCTCAAATTTTATACGAAAAAGTCACACGTCTTTATTGTACCTCTCTGTCGATTTTTCTTCGTTAGAATGTTAGATAATTCAACATGTGTATCCCAACTCGTGTACACCATGTGTGCATCAGCCTTGTCACAAATACACACAGGCACTAACTGTCTGTGTGAAACAGAGACGGTTAGTATTTGTGTGAAGGTTGTAGACACATGACCCCTTTTCGTTGAACCTTCATTGCGGTGAATCCCCGACTATGAGAGAGAAGTCTAATAATGTTCAAGATATTGAAGATCTCAAACTCATCCAGGAAAAATGTAGAGTATGATTTTAACGGAAATGAGTAAAAAAAACTTTTTTAAAAAATAAAGCATTAGTATTTTTCTTAAATTGATGAAGTATGAGTCTCACAGATGCATTTTTAGAAATCTATTTTAAGCCAACTTTAAGTTAATTAATTGATCCATTGAATAAAAAACATGAAAAAATAGAAAAATGAAAAAAACAAAAACCCAGTTGGATTCCACAAGTGTAATATCCTGGGAGGATGTGTGTATGCAGACTTACCCCTACTTAAAATTAATGTAGAGAGGTATATTCCAAGAGAGCACCGACACCAAAAAAAAGTACTCGGATAGTGAAAAAGCAATAAAAAGAGAATTTAAAAGATTATAACATTTTTCTTCAAATTTTAAATTCTTAAATTAGAATTAAACTAGGTTATTATTACTGTTAGAGTGTCATCCCACATCGGAAGTTCAAGAGCAAAATAATTGGTATATAAGCTCTTGAGTGGAAATAACTAATCGATTGGATTCAATCTTTTACTGTGGTTCAACCCAAGTGTCTTATTACCCAATCAAATTATCACTACCCCATCCTAAATTCTATCATGGTATCGGAGCAGGTTTTGGCCCACCCGTTTGTCAAGGTGTCCGTCTAGATGTTCATTCCTAGCGGCCCGTTAGTCTTTAGCCCAGTTGTCCGTATGGAGTATGTACCCAACGGCCCGTTTAACATGATTGCTCGTCTGGAAGTCCATACCCAGCGGCTCGTGGTCCTTTAGGTATTGGCGCTCAAAAAAAATTCAAGGGAATGGGAGTTTATTTGCAAGTGGTCAACCGGTTAGATTCAAAATGGCCCGATTGTCCACTTGAGGGGGGAGTGTTAGAGTGTCATTCCACATCGAAAGTTCAAGAGCAAAATAATCGATATATAAGCTCTTGAGTTGAAATAACTAATCGATTGGATTCAATCTTTAAATGTGATTCAACCCAAGTGTCTTATTACCCAATCCAGTCACTACCCCATCCTAAATTCTATCAATTAGTATCTGATTTTTAATTTATTTTTCTTTTTTTGGTTGTTTTTTTTTTCTTTCAATTTTTAGTTTTAGAATGTTTCATCTTTATGTGTCCGGATGGGTTCACCAGAGGGATTAAAGCAAAGAAAGATGTTAGCGGATATTTGTAATTAACCGTATATATTATGTTATTGGGCCTGTACTTGTTAGCCCGTTTATGTACTTGTATATATATCGATTTGTGATGAATGAAAAGGACACAAGTTTTTGCTAAGTTTCTACATGGTATGAGCCAAACTCCTAGGGTTTTGTGCGATTCTGCTCTCCGGCCGTGCGAGTTACTGTTCGACGCCGTAAAATTGTTTTGCCGATTGTCTTGCCGATTGGTTTTCTTTCGGATCGTGCATTTGCTTGATTAAGCACCTGATTGAGATTTCTTTGGCAATTGTTGCTCTGCAATAGTGGGCCGACAATTTCTTTGGCTTTTCTTTTGGCAATTGATGTTCTGCAATAGTGAGATTAAGCACCTGTTTTGGCTTTTCTTTTTCTGCTCGGCGATCGGACAAGCACCAGGCGCCAGGAAGTTTTATCCTCCCTATAATCCGATCGGTTCTGTTGGAACAAGTATTACTTTGTGATTCTTTGGTTCTCTTTCGATTCTGCACCATCAATTTCTGAATAATTGCAAGGTCCGGTTTTTGCAATGTCTTGTGAGTGGTTAGTGGATAGTGGTGCATCTCATCATATGACAGGGATACTTTCGTGTTTGACCGATGTAGTACCGAGGCCTCCTTGCACTATAAGTTTGCCCGATGGGGGGTCATGTGGTGGCAAATTCTTGTGGCCGGGTGCAAGTGTCTCCCTTTTTAATCTTGCACAATGTTCTTTATGTTCCTAATTTGAAATGCAATTTGATATCAGTGAGTTGTCTTGTCCACTCACATAACTGTCATGTTTTCTTTGATGATCATTCTTGTGTGATACAGGACCGAACTACAAAGACGCGGATAGGTCAATGTGAAGCACGCAACGGAGTCTATATCTTTCCTTCTCAAGCCCAAGCATCCAAAGCCAAATCTGTCTCCTTATTGCACCAACATCTTGGTCATCCGTCTCCTCAAGTTTTGTCTCTACCTCCATTTAATAAGAGTAATACTGAAATTAAAAATTTTCAGTCTTGTGATATTTGTTTCTTTTCCAAACAGACTCGTTCCCAATTTTCCCCTAGTCTTAATAAAGCAGATGCATTATTTGATCTTATTCATTGTGATTTATGGGGTCCATATTCTGCTTGCATATCTACGGGGGCTCATTACTTTCTCACCATTGTTGATGACTATTCTCGAGCTGTTTGGGTATTTCTTATTATTGACAAAACTGAGGTTACGAGTTGCTTGAAACAATTTTTTACCATGATACAAACTCAGTTTGGTAAAATAATTAAGGTTGTCCGCTCAGATAATGGTACTGAGTTTCTTAATAAACCCTTGCGTATGTTTTATAATGATATGGGTGTTCTGATTCAAACTTCTTGTGTTAATACCCCACAGCAAAATGGTCGGGTCGAACGTAAACATTGTCATATCCTTAATGTTGCCCGATCTCTTATGTTTCAGGCCTCTTTGCCAATTGAATTTTGGGGGAGTGTGTGTACAGCGGTATATCTCATAAACCGTACCCCGACTCCTCTTTTGCAAGGTAAATCTCCCTATGAACTCCTTTCTTCAAAACCTCCAGACTTGTCTCATCTTCGGGTATTTGGGTGTTTATGTTTTGTTCGTCACCTACAACGTCCACCTAATAAATTTCATCCACGTAGTGTCAAATGTATGCTTGTGGGTTATCCTACAGGAACTAAAGGCTGGCGGGTTTATGATCTTGAGTCTCATCGTTTCTTTCATACTCGGGATATTTCGTTTGATGAATCTGTCTTCCCGTTTGCTCTTCTTACAAACCCGTCGCCCCAAGCCTGCCATTCCCCGTCCCATGCCCATGCCGATTTTCCCAGCCCTCCTCCCCAGCCAGTTGTCCCCACGGCTTCTCCCAGCGGCGGCAACCCGGAAACCCACGCCTCTTCTAGCGGCAGTGACGAGGGCTCCGATCAT